GTGGTGGTGGTGGGGCAGATGGCAGAAGCAGAGGGACAAGCAGACTCCCTGCTGAGCAGGGAGACCTATGTGGGGCTTGATCCCAAGATCCTGAGATCAAAACCTGAGCCAAAGGCAGGTACTTAACTGACTGAGTCCCCCAGGCACCTCTAACAAAAAGTTCTTATCCCCCCTCTACTCTCTCTAAAAAATTAAACGAGTCCTAGCTAACCTATCTTTCAGGCAGATAAGCAATTCTCCAGGCTCTCCAACTCCAAGACAGGGCCTCTTTTTGACCACTGTGCAGTTAAGAAGGTCTTAGGACATTGGTCAATTTAATCCTCAGGATTTACCTCTGAGAATATTTGGAGGAAGTGGTAGGTAATGCAGAAGGATTTCTTATCTTGTGTTTTTTGGTGACTCCCAAATTGAAAAAGAAGCTATGAGTCACATATATTTATAAAATTGTGTTCTCCAAATTTATCTTGCTTTCAGGATAACCACATAATTCAACACATAAAATCCAGGACAGTTTGTCCAGAAGGAATACAAATAAGTAAGGATGTTTTGTTGGGTAAATAAAGTTTGATAAAGGAGAAGTAAGAAGCAAATGCCATTTCTCATATCGTGACTTGTCCATTTTACACACACACACACACACACACACACACACACACACATTATTGTAATGAATCCCATTGTCTTCCCCTCAGATTGGTCTTGACTCAATATGTTTTCTACTGTCCCAGTTTTAGAGATATCTGCAAAAAATGAGTAAGAAAGAGAAATTCTAAGAAATAATTCCCAGAGTGCAGCCAGATAAAATTGCTCGTCAGAAAGTTGCTGTCAGGGCTCTAGACGAAAGGCTCTTGATCAGCTCACAGGTTCTTACCATGTTCAGTGGACCATGTATTGTCTCGTGACATACTTAGGTAATCTGAAGGATAATGGTGGCGTTGGGGGCTAAATCTAGTAATTAAAAAATGTTATTAGAAAATTTTTGTTACAATCTCAGAGTTTCTTGAGGGTTCCCGATTCTTCTGGAACCTAGTCTTGTAGTTTATCCTTTAGAACTAGAGCTGTGCAGGGACAATGCCAATTAAGCAATTCCCCTGGCTTCTTTCCCTGGAAACCCATTTCTTTCTTCTCATCTGTGATCTTTGTTCTCCTCTTTTCTGGTAAAACAGTTTTTAGCAGGGTCAGCCAAACTAAATGTCCCTGATTTACCAGCAGAGCCCTGGCTCTCACTGTTGGGTCAAAGGGCAAGAGTACTGAATTGCAAAACAAGTGCTTTTGAGACCGTTAAAGAAGTGCGAGCTCATTAAGCATTTCTAGCCTAAAATAAACATGAGTTTAAAAATGATTATTTGTCTAAATAATTGTGAGGCAAGCAACAGGAGTGAGGAATCTGTCGATTTCTTCAGTGGCTCTTCAACATGCTTTTCCTCTGTAACTCAAATTTCCCCAAGACCTTCCAGAAGTGTTTCTCCCATGGGTGATATGCATGTGTTTGAACCACAGAGAGGAACCTGTTAGAGGACTGACTGGCAAGAGAGGCTTCAAGACAGGCTGGGGACAACTCTGTGAGGGAGGGATTAATAGCAATAATAGTTGGGGAGAGTGAAGAGATCTAAACTTTTCCTGCCACTGAGCCTGTGGCTAGTGTGGTGTGAGAGCAGTCAAGGACTGCTGCAAGGACTCTGAGACAGCCACAGCAGGAATAACAGCTGCTGAGCTGGGATCTTCTGACTGGAGGAATGGGGGTTGGGTGCTTGGGGGGTGGGGGCAGCTTCCTTTTCAGCTTCCCAAGGAGGGCAGCAACATGCACAGGGCCAGGAACAAGGCCCCACAGAGGTGGGAAAATCAGTTGACTTTAGATACCAATTGCTGAGTTTACATTAGTATTTGTGAGTCTAATGATACATTTGTTCATGTTATTAATATTTATATGGCATAGGTAACATTAACTTAACCATGATCCTGGGCCAGGTTTCTAACTGCTTTACTCTTATATGAATACATTTAATCCCCACAACAGCACCTTGAAGTAGATATTATTATCCTAATTTTACAGATGTGGAAATTAAAGTACAAAGAGGTAGGTTAAATGGTTTCCCCCAAGTCACACAGCTTGTAAGGGCTGTTGTTGGGATGTGATAAAAATATGTTGGGTAGGGGCACCTGGGTGGCTCAGTGGGTTAAACCTCTGCCTTCGGCTCAGGTCATGGTCTCAGGTTCCTGGAATCGAGCCCGCATGGGGCTCTCTGCTCAGGGGGGGAGCCTGCTTTCCTCCCCTCTCTCTGCCTGCCTCTCTGCCTACTTTTGATCTCTCTCACTGTCAAAGAAATAAATAAAATCTTAAAAAAAATGTGTTGGGTATTCTTGTCAAGAAAGAATCCTTCTAAGATTAGGGTTTAGACAGATAAAGTTTCAGTGGCAATGTGGGTTTCATGTGGCTGTTCTACATAGTTTCTTTTATTTTTAAGTTGAAGTACAGTTGACATACAATGGCACTTTAGTTTCAGGTGTACAACAGTGATTCAACAAGTCTATATGTTATGCTGTGCTTACTACAAGTGTAGCTCCCATCTCTCACCATGGAACACTATTAATACTGCATTCTACCTAATTTCTATCAATCAGTGATTAGGAAGGCTCTTTGTTGGATGGTAGGAGGGATGGAGAGTAATAGTGGAGATATATAAATTAGTATCAGACAAGGTCCTGTGTCAGTCGATTTATACTCATTGTTGAGATCGCCCTATAGTTCTGAGGTGCTCAGCTCAAATTCTCTTAGGACTCTGCCCCATTTTGGAAACTCTCTTGTGTAATACAGTGGCTACTAGCTACATATGGTTACTTAAACTTAAAATGTTAATTCCTCAGACAGAGTAGCTACATTTCAAGATCTCAGTTACCATATGTGGTTAGTGGCTACCATATTAGTCAGTGCAGATACAGAATGTATCCATCATTGCAGAAAGTGCTAGTGGACAGTGCTATTTTGAAAGTCTTTTGACTTGAGATAACCTGCCAAAAGAGGCCCACTAAACCCATAGCTTTCACTTTCTTTTTCTTGCTCTGTTTCATATATGTTATGCTTGGGAATAGCTTCAGACTCCATTAAGAATTTAATGAAAGCCATTACCCTGAAAATGCACCTACACAATTATACAGAAATTTGTATACAACTTTGGAGGGACCATGGACTCTTTGTGTAATAGTTACCCACTGGGGCACAGAAAATTACCCCCAAACTTAGCAGCTTAAAACAACAAAGACTTATTATCTCATACAGTTTTGTGGTTCAAGAATTCCATAGTTCAGTTAAGTGATTCTGGCTCAGGACTCCCATTAGATTGAAGTAGGGTTGCCAGACTTAGCAAATAAAAATATAAGATGCTCAGCTAAATTTTAATTTTAGATAAACAATAAATTTTTTTCAGTGTAATAATCTCATACTTAACTAAAAAATATGCATGGTTCACCCGAAATTCAAATTTAATTGGGCCTTCTGTATTTTATCTCATAATCTAGTCATGTATCAAATGATGGCTTTCATCGTTTGAAGATTTTCAGAGTGGGGGTCATGGATCCATTTCCAAGATGAGCACATGAACATACCTAGGAAGTTAGCTCTGGTTGTTTGTAGGAGCATCTGTTCTTTGCCACACAGAGCTCTTTTTGGACTGCTTGAGTGTTTCCCTTACATGACAGTTGGCTTCTCCCAGAGTGATTCAAGAGAATTCGATACCATTTATAACCTTACCTTGGAAGTCCACATTTTGTAATTTCTGAAATATTGTATTGATCACACAGGTCATTTCTATTCATTATGGGAGAGGATTAGATGAATACCAGAGGCAGGAATCATGGGGGGCCATCCAGGAGACTGGCTTCATCCTCTGCAATTTATACACGGAGTTTGTAACCTCTAAGTTCCATAACGGTAGGATTTTTGTTTATTTTCATCATAGTCATAGCCCTGGTGGCTATAATAGTGCCCTATAAATTTTAAGCACTCAATTACTATTTGTTAAATGAATGAATAAATGGACTCAATTCATATTCTCGGACCCAAAAGATTCATCTGGTCCCTAGCAGGTCTTGTAGGAACAAAAAGTGTTCCCCCAAAGAGGTTGAGAATGAGGATGTTAAAATATAGGTAATAGGAATTTAGAAAGGAATGCACTGGATTAATAATGTTGCTAATGAATGATGGTGATGGTGGTGGTATTCAACAAGGGCCAGCCTCTGTGTTGGAAGCTTCTTGTTATGTATATAATTTCATGTATGTGAACTTTCATGTAGGCATTGGGAAAAAGAGTGGGGAGTTATGATTCAAATGTTGTAAGGAAGGTTAACACATCCATGTTCTCTCTCTCTCTCTCTCTCTCTCTCTCTCACAAACACACACACACACACTCAAACACTTCCTCCTCCCCAAACACACCCATGCACACCTGCCATTCAGAGGAAGGAATGTTTTGGAATAACAATAGAAAGGAAACTATGAGATTTAATACAATGTAGGAGTGGGTTTTTTGTAGAAAAACACCTGACATAGTCTCGACACAGAAATTACAGCCCGAGAAAGAACACACAGGTTAAAATTTATCATAAGACTGCTTTTTAGAAAGTGAAGAGTGTGGGCAGTAATTCAAGGCTGCAGAGATAATAAAGGACAGGGTTCTGTGTGGAAATAACAGTGGCCCACTCCTTAATGGCAGAATTGTTTCAGCTTCTGTCATTTTTTGACATCTGCTGGGACATAAGCTTCCCAAGATAGAGGGGTAACCTTCACAAAGCTGTGTGGTCGGCACCACACAAATCACAGGTTATCGCTCAAGTGAATTTGTGGGATTTACGTTTTACTAATGGAAGTCGGCAGGGGGACCCTGGAGGGTAAGGAATATATCATCATTTCAAGCTCCCCAGGCTAGGCACCATCTCTTTCCTCAAGATGCTGCCAGTTTGAAGGTTGTAAGGATGAAGACAGGAGTCAGTTGTAGAAAAAGCCTAGCTGTTTATTTCTTGATGGTTTACAGAAGGATGCCTAGCTCTTTACACCTTCTCAGGAGGGTCTGCAAGGCAGCTTCAGCTGCTCTCTGGACGCTGATGCAGGGGTCTTGCCGAAGTGCTTGGAGCCCTGAAAGAGGACGAATGCGGAGTTCAGTGAACGAAGAAAGGCGAGGCTCAAGCTATGTCACGGCAGGAGGCTCCATGTCAAGCTCTATGTGGATCTGGGGCCTCCAGGCTTATGTTCTATCCCAATGGGTAGGGCTTAACTCTGCAAGTTGGGAATCTATTTTAACAGTCGGAGAGCAGGAGAGAAGATCTTGACCTAGTAATCAGTAGGTTTACAGGCAATCAGAAAACAACAGTCTTTTGGGAATGATGCCTGCAAAGGACTGGGCTTGGGGGTTGCTTTATTCTTGGGAGAAATTCCAGGATCTAGGGAACATCAGAGACAGTCATGAGGTACTAGGATTTTCAGTTTCTGGGCTAACAGGGAACTTGGTGCAGCATTAGCTTTTCTTTCTCAAAGATAGGTCTTTAACAACATGCTGATCAGAAACCAGGGTTGGTACTCACGTGTGGTTAGTTGTTCTTTATCTAATAACTGCACATATTGGTTTGTCAAATTGAGAACAATGGCATCTAAAATCAACAGGGGAAAAAAAATACTAATTTCATTATAGAGGAAGAGGCCATGAAAAGCGTGTCTGGTCAGACTCTGCACCTGGTCAGAAGTTAAGTGGTCTGGCTGGTGAGTGAGCAAATTCTCTGAGTCTTTTTGTGACCCCAGAACAATGCCAGGGTGATGTTTCCTGGGCCTTGAGTGCCATGTCTGAAAGTGGTCCCTCACCAATGTGTACTGGGAAAGGTCACTCAGTGTCCTCCCAGGGGATGCCAGTTGTAGTCCGGGTTTCAAACGTGCGCAAGATAAGATCATTGTCTTCAGAAAGTTTACAGTATAGCTGGAGGGATCAGTCATATGATCCAATAAAAAATCCTTAGGTTTTAACTCAGTCTTAAAGGTGGCCAAGAGAGTAGGTCTGTTCAAGTTAGACTGGATAAGTTGGGATAGGCGTCATGATAAAATTTAGAATTTCATAATAGAAGGATCCTCAGGGATTCACTTACGTTCCTCTTTTATTTCATAGATCAGACAAAGAGACAACACAGAGAGGTTAAGTGAATTGTCCAGAATCATATAGTGGAGCCAAGATCTCCTGGTCTCTTCACCAACACATTTTCCACTTGTGTCATGTAGCTACTAAAGCTCTCGGCTTCAGCTGAGCTTAGAAGGTTTACTATGGCTTATGTTAAGGGATGATGCAAAGGAAGCATTCAGGCATGGCAGCAGGCTCAGGGTAAAGACTTGGGCATAAGAAGGAGTGATGACTTGGAACTAGAAGAGGCATGGAGGGCCCATGAAGGGGGAGGGGTTAATGGGAGGAGAGGAGGTATTGGGAAGTCAGAAGATGCTACAAGTTTTCATTTGCACAGGTTCCTTTGTGGGAAGATATTCCAAGACACAAGATGAATTCCTTTCTTGCATTTTTTGGTTGTTGTCATCCCAGTCATGCCCGTGTTCATGGTGGAATAGTTTCCTGTTGAAGCAAAACTAGATGGGAAGGAGCAGACTCACCTCAGTAGGGAGAGTGGATGTGCCCTCACCTGTGAGTTTGACAGCAGTGCTCCGGATCATCTCCCAGTTGCTGCTGAAGAAGGTGAATGAGTGTGTGTGGAGGATCCACAGGATTTCCTGGTTTTTCTTTGCCTAAAAGAGATATATATTACAAAGAGAACAACTGGGAAGTGACCCATCATGAAATTTGGCATCTGGTAGGTCCTACAAAAGGAAACTAAAAGGCTATGAACACTCATATAGCCATTAATTTTTCTACTGGAAGATGTCTTATGGTTATGGTTATGGTTATCAGAAAAGCACTGAGGGGCGCCTGGGGGGGTGCAGTCGGTTAAACAACTGACTCTTGGTTTCAGCTCAGGTCCTGATATCAGGGTCGAGGGATCAAGCCCCGTGTCAGGTTCTGCACTCAGCACAGGGTCCAAGGTTCTCTCTCCCCCTTCCTCTTCCCTCCCTTCTGTGCTCTCTCTCTCTCAAATAAATATCAATCTTAAAAAGAAAAGAAAGAGAAAAGAACAGAACAGAACTGGGCCTTGTGGGACTAATTAACAGGTGTATTTCAGGAATCTCAGAGAACAGACCCCAGTCAGGACTTGGGAAAGAGAGGAGGGTAATGGGACAGGACACCAAGAATTGTTGGGATCCTTCCAAACCAGCTCTGACTGTGGCCACAGATCCCTTGCTGTGTTGTTTGCCTTTTTGGGATTTGCCCGGATTCTGGGTTGTGCGTTTGCAGGCAGCATTTACAACACACTCACCAGTTTCACGCAGAATTGCCTGTAGAAATCCCTGGCCCTTGGTAGATCCTGACCATCAAGGAGATGATCTAACACCCCATAGAGTTCCTGAAGGCCCAGGAAAGGGATGCAGATGATCAGGACATCACGGCAAGCCTAAGAAACAGGGCGTTCCAAGTCACTGTCTATAAGGCTGGATCCTCTATGGGAAGGGAAGGATGCTGCCTGGTGGTGGGAGAGGGGCAGTGGGCACCAGTGATGCTTGGGGTTTAAAGTCAAGGCTGACACCTTCCCAGTTTCAATCTCTGACAGAGAGAGCAGGCAAAAAAGAACCTAGGGTTGAAGAAGCAGTTTTCAGGTTCCGTTGAGAGAGGTGGCCTCAGATCTGGCTTCCGGAACAGCTAGACCAGACTTACTGGCACTTGTTGGCCATGGGGGGAGGAGGAGGTAAAGGTGTCTGTGCAGAGGCCACTTACAGCTCTGATCTTGGGATTGGGATCCCAGAGGTGGAGAAGGAATGAAATCATGCTCTTTTTTATTTCTTCTGCAAAAAATATCTTCCACCTTCTTCCTGTTAGGGATGCCAGATTCTCAAATAAGAAGATGGCAGTCAGTCTCACATCATCCTGCTCCTGTGGTGACAGAGGCATATCGTGGGTGAGTCCCCCCTCACAGGCCTTTCCCAGCGAGTCCCCCCCTCACACCCATCACCCAACCTGCCCTGTCCCACGTCAGCAAAGGGAGGCTGCGACGAAGGCGCTGGTATGCTCTTGTCACAACCTCTATGTGCGCCAAGAATGTTCCTCCATTCCTAGCAGCTGTGCACTCCCACTGTGAGTTTAAATGATCACAGGTCTGGGTTTAAGTGATGCTCTAGAGCGGGAGACTTGGGTCCTGTCCTCGAGTAGCTACTAGGGAAATAGTCAGAGGAAGGGTAAACAGGGAGTACTGGCAGCAAAAGGTCGGGGAGGGTTCCTGCTTATTGTGTATTTTATGCAAATTAGCATGAACGCATCACTGACCTATCACTGACATAGGATTTGTGGCTTCTAATCTAAATTGCCCAAGGCCCAGGGCTCTTGTCCAAGATCCCAAATACTTTTCAATGGGGTTAAAGGCAGCTCAGAAATTTGGGCTCTGGTTGTCAGACACAGAGAATGAACAAACAAGTGCCTATCCCGATGCTGGCCTATGTGAAATTCTGGAATTTTCTTGCTTGTTGTCCAGGATGGTAGGGGTGATTTTTAAGAACCAAAGGGTGAGGTGGTGGAGAAAGATGGCCGCCTGTTATTCCAGACACTTTGCTGATACCATTCAGAGTTCTAACAAACACTGATGGGTTTGCTGGGGGTTTTTCTTTCTTTCTTTTTTTTTTTGCTTCTAGGTCTAGCAAACTAGTTTAAAATTCCCATGTAAAGGCTGAGGGATGAAGAGAGAAGTCATCCTGAGTAGCAGAATATTATCTTGGATTAGCAACAAAAAAGGGCCAATGAAAAGCATCCCCAGGAATATGAGGAAAAGAAAAAAGAGAGTCGTATTGATTTTGATGACAAGGTAGAACGTGTCATCATGTTCAGAAATGGGCACACAAACAGAAATGTCATAAAGAAGGAAGTTAAAGATTTTCCAGAAAAAAATAAAGACGGCAGGTTGGGATAAAGCCAGAAAAGTTAAATGAATACACGAGACATGGCCTTATATAATGGAAGCAACGGAAGTAGAAATGTTTAAATGTACTAGGAATGAGGTCGGGATATATTTTTAAAAGGTCCATTTATTTATTTTAAAAGACTATTTATTTATTTATCTGTGAAAGAGAGCATGAGTGTTCGAGAGCAGGGTAGGGGCAGAGCAGAAGGGAGAGAGAAATGGAGTGAATGAATCTCAAGCAGACTTCCTGTTGAGCATGAAGTTCAGTCTCAATGACCCTGAGATCATGACCTGAGCCGAAACCAAGAGCTGGATGATTAACCAACTGAGCCACACAGGCACCCCCATTTATTTATTTATTTAGAAAATATTTTATTTTTAAGGACTCTCCACATCCAAAGAGTTGCATGCTCTACTGACTAAGCCAGCCAGGTGCCTTGAAATGTCTCTTTTTATTTTATTTTATTTTTAAAAAATGATTATTTATTTAGCAGATAGAGAGAGAGAGCGAGAGAGAAGCAGGCTCTTTACTGAGTAGGGAGCCTGATACAGAGCTTGATCCCAGGACCCGGGGATCATGACTTGAGGCTGAAGGCAGACGTTTAACTGACTGAGCCACCCAGGCGCCCCTAAAGGTCTCTTTTTAGAAAAAGAAGACAAACCAATTATAAAACACCAAAAAGGTAGAAAGCTATTTACTTTTTTTCAAACTCTTTTAAATTTTTTGAAATCAAATGATAGGACCTAATGATAGGTCAAGGAATGATAGGAAAAAGCAGAAAAGAAGCAACGAACCGGTTGTGTGTTCTGGTGGCGATACTAGAGTTTAGTGTCCTTGTTTCGAGTTGAGAAAATGGAGTCACACACAGGAAGGTGACTTCGGGGTCAGTGCAGAGACAGGATGGAAGAGGGCCTGGCACGTGGGGTGGCAGCCATATTTTCTGTTCTACCATTTTACTGAAGGGTCACCATGTTTGAGAATTCCAAGAAAGTGCTTAAATATTGAAAGAAAGGGAGGAGGGGATAAACTTGGCAATTACAGAATTGCATGCTTAATCTATAGAAAACTCTTGGGGCAAAGTTTCATAAAGTATAGTTAAATTTATTTGTGGGAAGAGAGCATTAGCAGAGAATGAATAGCATGTCATTACTAAGTCCTAAGTTTTTACCAAACTTTGCTTTGATACAAATACGATGAAACTGATACCTCCTGAGGATGACAAAGTTCTAACCTAACAACCGGCAAGACTTCAGTTTTTTTGTCTTCTGCATAAGACTGAGAAACATGATCTTGACCACAAAACTCGTAGGTGATTATTGAAAGCTCAGATCCAAAAGATCTCTCATCACTGGATCCACAAGAACCCCAGGAAGCTAACAGACGGGGCGGGGGGCTCTGTGGGGGAGACTTCAGCCCTTTGTTGCCATCAATCATCTGTGTAATGAAGAAAAGAACATCTTTGTTATTTTACAGAAGATACTATGTTGAGTGGGAGCCACATAAACAGTTTTGAGGACCAAATGAGAATTAAAAGAAATGTTGATACTTTTGAGAAAGTAGCTGGAAACCAGCAGAAAGCTGCTTTCAAAGTTTTCAAAGTTTAGGAACGAAATAACGGAAACTGAAAAATGCACAACTGCAGAATTATTGACTGTGGGCATATATTGCAGATTAAAATCTAGAGGCTTCCATGGTGAAAAAATTGCCAAGGAGTCAAGAAGAAAGGGCAAGATTTAAAAAAAAAAAAAAATTGGAGTAGATAAATGGGAAAAAATCAGACCTGAGAGGTAATTTTTCTTTAGGTCGTATTCAGTGGTGTGCAGGCCACATCTAGAGACACAACACAGTGGCTGGCTTGTGAAATATTTAAAGAGCTGAAAAATTAGGTTTATGATGAATAATGGAGGAAATGAAGACTTTTCAGTCTGGAGACTGGAAGGTAGAAAGGTAATTTAATCAAGCCTTAATTTTGAAAAGGAGGAAACCAGCAGTTTTCCATCTCCTCTGACAACACAACATGAGGAAACAGGTTTCAGTCACAAAAATAGATAAGTTGGAGGGGAAATAGATTTTTACATTGATGACAATGAATAAACCAAAAACAAATAATAAAATCTAGTTTTCTGGAAGGCATGAAGGAAAATGACTTTCCTTTGTCGAGGGTCACTGATGGATCTTTTTTTTTTTTTTTTTGAAATTGATTTCTAGGTTATTGACTAGATTGGGGCTTTTACAGAAGCTTTTTCTGTAAAAGGTCAGTCAGTAAATAATTTAGACTTTGGGGGCCATATGGTTTCTGTAACAACTGATCAACTCTGCAGATGAAGTGTGAAAGCAGCCATAGACAACACGTCACCAAGGAGCATGGCTGTGCGCATAAAACTTAGTTTACGAAAAGATGCTCTGGGCAGGGTTTGGCCCTCAGGCTGTGGTGTATCCTGACTCCCAGATTAAATGAACCACACGAGCATTTGAAACTTTGAATCTTGGAAGTGGAGAAGAGCACTGGAGGTGACAAGGCCCTTATATGGGCCCTGTTCTCTGTTGAGTATTGTCATAATCTGTGGGAATAAGGGAAGAGGGGAAAACTACAAAAAGGGAATATTAAAGAGTGTATTTCCCTTATGGGCAAGTGGGGCTCAATCTTTCTGTCGGGGGAGAAAGCTGGGGAGTTTATCTGCAAGCTCGCATTTCTTATTTCTTGAGGGTTCTCCCCCAACACGTCTGCTCCCCGCTGCTCAGAGCGATCATGATTCCCCAGCCAGAGAGGACCCTCAGGCAGAGGCAGACCCAGGAAGGCAACACGGGACACCCAAGGGAAGGCCGAGGAATCCAGATGGCACACGACATTGCCTGCTACACGCACTACCTGAACCTTTCTGTTCGCTCACTTCTGGGGAGGGAAGATTCCTGAACAGGCTCACTTACGTCTTCAAAGAAGGTTCTCGTTTGCAGCACTATCTCTTTGAAGTAGAAGCTCACGTCTCGGTCTGTGAGCAGCTCCAGGATCTTTTTTAGAGCCTTCAAGCTTTCACAGACGACTTCGGTGCGGGCCAAGTGGTACAGGCCTCTGATGATAGATTCTAATATTATCTGCTTATGCTTCTTCACCTATTTTGAAATAAGTTCTCTTAATCTTGAAAACCGTTCTACATGCAGGTGGACTAGGGTAGGGGGCTCCCGGCAAGGAAATTAGAATTCGGTTAAGGTCCTGGGTTTTTCCACCAGAGAAACACCACTGTAACAATATATTAGGATTTTTACTGAATTTCTAGGTAACCATGAGGAGTGGGTTAGTTAATCATTATCTTCAACTCTACTTAAATGTCCCCCAGCCCCATGCTCCTTTCACCTTGTGAGGGGCTCCAGAAGCTGTGTTACCAAGCCCTCGGATGGCCATTTGCCTCAGCGTGGCGTTGGAGTCCCAGGCGCTCTGGTCCATGAGGATCAGCACTTCCCGTAGATTCCCGTGCTTCCAAAGGATGGGCTCCTTCATGAGCTGAAAACAACCACTTCGCCCCTTTAGTGGAGGGAGTGGCCTCCCTCCAGAACAGTGACAAGTGCATCACAACTACGATGAAAAAGTGGGGTCCACCCACTCATGGAGGGGAGGAGGGAGCCCCCTGGTCAATCAGCAAGTGCTGCAGAAACTACTCTCTAGATGTGAGCAGCCCATGGGTCAAGGCTACGTGGTGACAAGAACCACAATACCTAGTTAAGAAGAGGTTTTCCAATCTAATGGAAAAATGGGAAAACAGGAGTTAGCGACAGTGTTCCTTCTCTGGGTCGGCTGGGACAACTTTTGTGCCAGGGTATGAGGTGATGATAATATGCCTATTGAGTACTTTGTGTTTTGTCCCTGGCGTAGTTAATTCTCCAGGTTTCTCTGTCCTGGGAGGGTTGGTTTCTGCAGACTTGAGCTATGGAAGAGGTTGCGGGCGGGTTCTTTTTCTTTTTTTTTTTTTCCTCTCTCAGTCCCTGCTTGGGCACCATATTTTTGGCAATGGCTGGATCTCTTGACCCCCAAAGCTTCCCTGAAGGGCCCTCCTCTGTGGTTCAAGCTCCCACTGAACTCTTGACCCTGAGAGAACTGCCCCAAGGGGACCCAGAGGGCCTGCCGAGCAGGGGCGCGGATACTCTCTCTTGCCTCAGAGAAGAAAGCTGTGCCGGTGATGCGGTAGTTCTCTGAGGAGGAGGTCAAGGATGAGAACAGTTGCTCTATGATGTCCAGCATGAGCCCACGCTGCCACAGCGCCATGCTCCTAGAAAACACAAGCCTCCAGTTGTAGCACTTTTTCCTTCCTAGACCATGGAGGAAATTTGGGTCTATTTCTCTCTCAGGAAAATAAATGATCTAAAAAGGGAGGTTTGATGAAAAAGCACGAATGCTTACATTGCAAATAGCTTATCCAAGTGCCCGATTCAGGTGCAGCTTTCCTAACACTGTTGCTGCATCATTCTATTTTGGGGGGAGTGGTGGGATCTGGGCTGCTCCCACCATCTCTTCCCACCTCCTTCTGCTTCTTCTTCTCTCTTTTTTCCTCCTGGACTATAAATCCTTAATGAGTCCTCTGCTCCCAGTGAAGCTGTCTCCACTGCATTTTTACTCAATTCTGAGTGTTCTCCTTCATGTCCAGTTCTAGAAGGCCCGCCCATTACCTGGCCAGTGCGCACACTCCCACGTGGTGGGTACTGGGACTGCTGAGGAGGGTCCATAAGTTGTCCCCCTCATCAGATTCCTTGGCAAGACCTTCTTTCATGGCTTGGGCTTGCACACACTTCAGAGTCACCGTCGAGAGCCTGAAGGAGATAGTCGGCCCCACAAAAGTAAGCCAACCCCTCGCAGGGAACTGTCAGTCCCTAAGTTTGCTCTGTCTGTTCCCCACAAGGCTCCCTCACTTCTGGATGAAGGGACACTGTGAGAGGGCGAAAACCTACTGCCCGATCTCACACTTTAATTTGGGGTCAGAGGGGACACGGAGACGATCTGAACCAGTAAGGAAAATGCCACAGAAACTCGTTAACCTCTCATGAGAAAAGAAAGCCCCAAGGGGGAAAGGGCAAACTCTTCTCTCTCTCTCTTTTTTTAATTAAAATAAATTAAAAATTTTTTTAAATTTAATTAAATTATTTTTTATTTTTTATAAACATATAATATATTTTTATCCCCAGGAGTACAGGTCTGTGAATTGCCAGGTTTACACACTTCACAGCACTCACCATAGCACATGCCCTCCCCAAACTCCTCTCTTTTGAGGATTCTAAGAGAGCCTGCTGGAACCAGGCAGCCTCTTGCCCTGGATGGTGTGTTGCGACTGGAGGGTGGTCGTGCTGGAGTTAGCCGGGCCCGCACAGGCACGGTACAGGCGTGGATGGGAGCACGGTCCTTTATCTTACTGTCCCTGTAGTGAAGTGACATCTATTAATGGAACTATGTGTGCTGGGCCTCGATGCTGCTTGGAATGTCTTTCAACAGGTTACTTTGACACCAGGATAAAAAGTTATGCAACAGGACAGGGAAACAGAGCCTTGCAATAGAGGATAAAAATCTATACCTAAGCACTCTAAAAGAGCTCTTTGAATAAATATATAGCAAACATTTGAAAGTATAAGAAAGCATGGGTTCGTGGCTTGGTTGGAATTCTTTCTTTTTCAATAATACACAGAATAATTTTGCTTCCTTCCATGGGTGACATCTTCAGTTGGATAAAATGTGCTGTCGATTTTTATTTTTCTCCTTCTCTTGGTGGCCTTGGATATTGTGGAATCCCGGCTTTCCTTGAAGGGTCTCCGTGAGAGAAAACAAGGGAGACAGAGCTCTAGGGAAGCACGCAGATCTGCCACTCGTTGTTCTGGGATGGTTCTGGGCAGCTACACGGGGGCCCTGCTCAGGGAAGAAGAGCACGAGGGCTCAAGGTCAGTGGAGCCTTGTTTCCTCCTGGGTAGTGGAGGCCACAGCAGATGGTATATAGGCCTTGACTTCCAGAGCCCCTTGTCTAGTCTGGAACCCAGGCAGCTGGGGAGGGCCCTCCGGCCCGGCCACGTACCTGCAGGGGTCTGCGGTCTGCTGCCGTTCTCCCTGCTGCATTACCCGCCGCCTGTGGCTCCAGGTGGAAATGGGCATTGTCTGGCCCAGTGTGCAGCTGACCAGCTTCAGGAGAAGAGTGAACAGCTCCGGGTACAAGCTGGTGATGGGGGTGCCTGTTGATACCACTTCATACATAGCACAGGCCACCTGAGGGGAGAGAGGACCCCGCGGTCAAGCAGGCTCCCTTCCTCCCGGAATATCTCCCCGGCCTGATCTTCAAGTTTGTTTTCTCCCCAGAGGATTGCTCTCCAGGTTGACCACACTCATTGTAAAAACAAAACAAAGCAAGAGCGAAACAAGAATAAAAGCAGCCAGAGAGGAGAGGATGTATTTGTCTGGAAACTTCTCAATCAGAATATGTTTCTCTCTCAGGACTACCATGTTGGTCAGCTCCAAATTCCAGGGGGCCGCAGTCAGGTTAAATGAAACCTTTTCCAACACTGAGGTCTTTCAAAAGGGTGCTTTTTGGATATCTTGAAGACAAATTTGGAAATAAAGATACATGGATTTTCTTTGGGATGATGAGAAATTGGTTCCAGAAGGGACAGCCACAGACAAAATTAGGGCCATCCTTGTCCAATTTTAAGATAGAATTGATTTAAAATCAGGGTATGAGAGGGGAAGAAGCATGATTAGTGCTACAATCACTAAACTCCAGGTGGGGGCAGACCACGGAGCGGAATGCTATACCAGGCGTGTGATGGGTTGTTGTCCGACTCACTGAAATCGCTTCTGTCCCGGCCATGTCATCTTCTAATTCATTCTCAAGTTTGTCTGTTAAGGCTCTCAAGAGTTTACTACTGGAGGCTATGTTCTCAGCCAGAGCCTTCCACAATGTCTTTGTGTCCCTAGGGTGGTAAGGCAAGAAGCTGATAAGAAACAACTCTTTGGAATATGAGCTTTTTCATCTGTTCCCCTCTAAAACCACAGTATGACTAATCAAAATTTCAAGGGACAGATGGAGATGCTAACATGCTTAGAGATAAGAAGGATGTGTTCTTTAACAGTCCAGCATTCTGGACGTGTGTGACTGAGGTTTGTTGATATCTGTTAAAGCAGAAACCTCTCAGCTAGGTGTATTCTAGGTGACCAGAAAGAGGAGAAATACTTATTTTCTAATACTCATTTATTCCTATAGTGTATTAAAAAAAACTCATCATTTAATGAGGATATGTAGATGAAAAACACTTGGAAAAAACATGCTTTGTGATTCAAGCACCGTTTTTGAAATGATTATTTAGGTGAGATATTCTCAACCTTTGTTTTTGCTTTCCTTCTCTTAAACCACAAATCCTTCCTTAATGCAGATTAGCCCTTCCCGGGAGAACAGAGCAGCTCAGTTAGTTAGCCTCTACCTGTCAAAGGGCAGTGGTTTCTGTAAAAGGTTGGCGACGACTGCCTCCATGTGAAAGCTGGCGATCTGAGAGACGGCTTCCAGCATGAACTGGAAACTTTCCTCCTTTTGCCTGAGGACTGGCATGTGATGGTAAATCATGATCAAGATCTCCAACAGCTAAAGGGAAAAAAAAAATCCAAATCAAACAGGAAGTTGCTGTTTTTTCCTCTACATGAGCGGCTTAGGACACATGTAGACAGCGTATGATTCATGGGTGGTTGATGAATTATAAACCAGGTAAAAATAATCATCAATTCTATGCGTGGCCTGTCTCTTACTCAGGGGGGTTGTAGCTATATTGGGTATTTATTCTTAAATCGATGTAGTAAATATTTGGTGAAAGGTTGCATTAGATCAAATATTGTGCTAGGCATCGTGGGGAATTTACCAAAGATGAGTAAGATGTGGCCCTTTCTCAGGAGGAATCAGTTTTCTAATAAAGAATGTTAGTGGGGCACCTGGGTGGCTCAGTGGGTTAAAGCCTCTGCATTTGGCTCAGGTCATGATCCCAGGGTCCTGGGACCAAGCCCCACATTGGGCTCTCTGCTCAGCAGGGAGCCTCCTTCCCTTTCTCTCTCTGCCTGCCTCTCTGCCTACTTGTGATCTCTGTCAAATAAATACATAATCTTAAAAAAAAAAAAAAAAGAATGTTAGCCATATACCCGAAGGTCTGCGCACAAGGCAGCATATGGCCAGTGATCTACGGGAGGTTCACTGGACTGGTAGGGGAATCCAGAAGTAACTGAGGTTACTGTGGAGGGACATCTGGTCTGAGTCTTGAAAGATAAACAACAATTTCGAAAGGCAAGGTGGACTGGGGCTAATAATACACTATATGTTAATAAAAAATAAAAAAATAATTTAAAAAAGGCAAGGTGGAGATAGATGGTAGGGGAAAATCATTCTCATCAGGAAGAAGAATACAGATAAAGATGTAAAATAAAAAAGCATGAGAAGAGATGAAGCATGGAAGATTTTTAGAGCAGTGAAAGTATTCTGTGTGTTAATGCAATGCTGGATACATGCAATTATACGTTTGTCAAGGCCAACAGTGAACCTTAACGGAAACTATGGACTTGGGGTGATAATGATGTGTCAATGTAGGTTCACTGATTGTAACAAATGGACTACATTTGTAGTGTATTACAAATTACAAATTACATTTGTAATGTAGTACAAGTGGACTACATTTGTGGGGTGTTGATAGTGAGGGAGGAGGCATGTGTGTGGGGAGAGGAGGTATATGGCTATCTGCTCAATTTTGTTATGAACATAAAACTGCTCTTAAAAAAAAATCTATGTAACAAAATAACAGGAGAGCATGGGACCGAGCAAATATGGCAAAGACTTCTGGAATAGGAGAATGGTCCAGTTTGAAACGCAGAGAAAATGAAGGTGATAGAAGAAGATAATTTGATAGAAAATATGAAGCCAGATCCTAGAGAACACTGACGTCTCCCTTCCAAATTTGCATGTTAATCTGCGGGCAGTAGGAAATGATGTTATGCATTTGGATTTTAGCTGTGGAGGACAGCAAGTCTCTCAGCTAAAGGAACTTTGCTTCTAGCAGATACTTCTCTTATTTATTTTGGATAGACATTTTTAGGATAAACATAACATTTTCCCTGAATTATAATTCCTTAAACAAATATCTGGCAAGTATGATTACCACAGAGTCCCATTTCAAGATGTTAGGAGAGGATTTATGTCCCTATTTTTCTTTTTGTGCTGAACACACAAATACAACAGCATTCCAGATTTATAAGCCTTTGATTCTCTCATGCCTAGCCTAGTGCCTGCCATAGTATGCACTCAATAAATGTTTCTGGGGGCGCCTGGATAGCTCAGTCAGTTGGGGGTCCTACTCCTGGTTTCAGCTCAGGTAATGTTCTCAGGGTCATGGGATCGAGCCCCACATTGAGCTCTGTGCCTAGAGGGGAGTCTGCTTGGGGATTCTCTCCCTCTGCTCTCCCCCGACTCGTGTGCTCTTTCTCTCTCTCTGAAATAAATAAATCTTTTAAAAAATAAATGTTTTTGAAAAAACTGATTGGAGAGTAATTAACACAGAAATTATTTCTAAAGGTCATATGTTAGAGAATTCTTTAATTTAAGGTGACCGACCCTGGGATATGGGGACCATAACTTTCAACTATTCCCCTTGAGATGATTTCATTGAGTTAAAGATTCTCTTCCTTTTTATTAATCTTTGAATTACTTGAATTCTGCTTCTGACCTCAAGAGAGAGGATAGAGCATCTCCATTTGGAGCTTTTAACCAAGCTTCCTGAACTCAAGTCTTCTTCACACTGCTTAACTCTCCAGCTGAGAGCAAGTATTGAGGACTTTGCCCCAGTCAGCTCTCCAATGACAGCCATCCTTACCAGAAAACCAACCCTAAAGTTCTGTGGAAGAGCAGCTTGAAGAGTGGCAGTGGGATTAGGAACTCTACTGACCCTTAGTGGTCAACCCCAAGGGAATCCACACGGTCACCATCCTCCTTAAGATCTAACAATCCAGTTTTCCAGAACCCAAATGTCCTTGTTCAGAGCTGCTGTCTCTGGCCAAAGAGTGACAGTTGGGCAAGCTTTTTTTTTTTTTTTTTTTTTTAAGTCACAGACTAGAGAGACAATTGAAACAGATTGGGGCAGGCACTCAACATGAGCTGGGTTGTTAGTACACAGCTTGGGTCTCTGCGGAGGACTCCGAGGCCGTGCGTGCTCTTGCCTGTTATCCAGCAGAGGACAAACTGAGAAGTGACCACCAGCTTGGCATCTCAGAAGTGTTAGAGGTCAGTTCTGTGGCCAAACTGGCTGGCAGTTCACCTGTTCTTCCAAAGCGGCTCCCTGCTCCTTCAGGACCGTAATCATCCATATGCCACAAGCCCGGGTACAGGCAGAGTTAAGGCTCTCCAGACCATCCAGGGTTTCCTCCAGGAACAGTACGATTTCTTCAACTGGGATGAGTTTACTGACAATCTGAGAATGTACCCAGAAAGATTCACGTTATCAACCCCCTCTACATACACTAATTCAACATGCTGCTACTGTTTTAGGAGATTGGTAGAAACCACTGGAATTTCCAAACAGCTGACCCATGACTAGGGCATAGAACCTACAGAAAATACAAAAACAAACAGACATTACCCTGCAACTCTAGGCAGACTTTTTTCCAGAGTTGCCCTTTTATCATTTTATATTTATTGCATCCCGAGACTACTGAGGCAATTTCTTCTCCAGACTTCGAAGTTACAGTGTACTCCACAAGGGAAAAATAATGTATATGGTTTATAATCCAATTTATATGATATAAATTACTTTCACATACATTTCATATATCACAGAGATATGTCTTGCATCTACCAGAATAGCTAAGCCTTGAGAATTTAGGAAAATAGATCACCATGTACTAAGTGCCATGTTCAATACTAGGCAGATCACAATATCCATGTAAGTATGAATTATTATGAGTTCTGTCTTTTGCTTTTCCATGTTTCAAAATTAAGACTAGTCAACAAAAGGTGCAGAAAATAAAAACTTGGCAATTTTGGTCTCTAAGTATAAGAAATTTACAGAAGGAGTGATAGCAGTGTGTGAGTGTGTGTGTGTGTGTGTGTGTGTACGTGCTAATGAAAAGGCAGGCAGGTGAAAAGATGGCCCTTTGAATGAATTCCAGGGACATTGTCTGGGGCATTAACTAAGCAAGATGGTCATGATTATGAGTTTGTAGGTATGAAAACATTGCTATTCACAACTGACTTCCCTCTGCATTAAGTGGCCCAATGACTGATATTTGGTTGAACAGTTCTTGGAAGGAAATTAATCCCTTTTCATGTCTCAACCGGTTTCTGAGTCATTTTGATTCCAAGATCAAAGGACTAGACTGCCACATGTGTTCTATGTAACACCAAATGCTTGCCTGGGCTCCAAACTCAATGGTTATCTGTTTTTTTGTTTTGTTTTGTTTTTGTTTTGTTGTGTTGTTTTTGTTGTTGTTTTCCCCTCACATTGGGATGGATGACGATTTAGGAAGAAAGGAAGGAGGTGGGCACATGTTTTTGAGAACCTAACACATCAGACACTTTCTTAGGTATTTGACATAATGTGCATTCTGTTCTCCCCCACCCCACCCCAAGTGGCTTCTCTCCCTTATTCTGGTCACCTTTTTATCATCTCTGCTGCTGCCTCCTTAGTCCAAGCCACCTAATCTCACACCTGGATTCTTGTAGTTTCTTCTAAACTGACCTCATTAATTTCACTCTGGCTGCACCTGTATCGTAGTCTGAACATAATAGCCAGATGACCCTTTGGAAATACAAGTCTGATCATGTTCCTTCTTGCAGAAACACCATGGGTTCAGAAGGGGCTTTTATAAATAAGTAAGAGATACCCTGTCTTCACGACAGTTCACTTTTCTCTGTAAGTACACAGTCATAATGACTGAGGCAGGCCTTTTGTCTTTTTCTATTCTTAGAGGCTAGAACAAAGTCTGGCACATGGTAGGTGTATAGGGCATAGCAGGTGAATGAATAAGTGATTAAATAAATGAATGACTTCATTGACCAATCCTCAGAACAACTCTGAGAGGTAGGTTATGCACTTTTTTTTTTTTTTGAAATGAGGAGAATGGACTTCAAGCAAGTGCACACAACATCATCTGATAGACCCCAAAGCCTTTGTACCTTCCACTCCACCACACTGCCTCCTTCATCCTGAAAACAGATGCTTGGTTCATAGATTTCCTCAGAGTATGAAATGATCCGTAGCAGGTGTAGACTGGGCACATGGCCCCAGGGACAAGCAATGGCTAGACTTCGCTCTCCTTGGTAGTGGAGCGTCCCCAGCTTACTCATTTGTAAATCAACCCAGAATCATCTTGCCACCCCTTGGCCAGTCGTCCGTATCTATTACCTTCGCTATTTTAGAAGAAATCTTGATCTGGACCTGCCCGTCATCACACTGCAGCCCTTCCTGCAGACTCTGCAGTCTTTCCACCTCTGGGTGGGTGCCTGAAATCCACAAGGGGAGACAGATGCAAGAGTTCAAAGACCCCATAGGGTTAAAGAGGTTGGCTCTACTTTGATATGACCCGAATTTAGCTGCTGGATGCTTTTAACCAATGCACGAAAACCTGTCTGATGAAAGGCTGGGCACAAGAGCAAACACGGATTGAGCAGTTTCTGCTTGCTGGTACTGGGCTGAATCCTCTGCATACCATCATTCTCGTTTATTACTCATAAACATTATCTGAGGTAGACGCTCCTGATTTTGCAGACAAGAAAGCTGAGGCTGAGAGCTATAAAGCCATTTGGCCACAGCTATCCAGAGACTAAAAATAGGAGAGTCCGAATTTGAAGCCCAGTCTGCCTGACACCAAAGCCTAGGCTCTCACTGTTCTGCTGTACTGCTGTCTCTGTTGGAGTTCCCTTGAGCAGTGCGTGGCTTCTGGAAAAATGGAAGTGGGAAGGTAACTATTGCAACAAGAACATCAGCAACGTTGTAACTGATTTTAGAAACCAACTTATAAACTCAGACCTAAACAGTAACAATTTTCTCTTTGTTGTTTGAATGGAGGGTAACCGTGGAAACTAACACCTGAGCCCTTCTATGGAAGGCAGCCCAGCCCAGTAGAGCATACATGGACTTGCAGTCAGACAGACCTGGGTTCACAGCCTTGTTCTACTACTTTCTGCAGCTGGTAAATTTCTTACCCTCAGCTCACTCATCTGAAAACCGAGTTTTAAGTGGGTATTTAATTTAGCGTCACACTAGTTACTTGCATTCAGCAGGTATTTAATAATCATACCCTCTGCCATGCTATTTGATCCATCAAGGAAAAGAGTTAAAATAAATAATGAAGTATGGGATTTCTTATTAACAAAGAATATTTGAGAACCTGAATTTTGCACGTTTCAGGAAATTTTGCTTGTTTCAGGAAAATAAAGGATGCTAAAGGAAGAGCAGGTAGAGCAATAATAGAATTGAAATTCCTCTCTTCCTCTGAAGTTCCTCCCTGACACATTTCTTCTCTTACTAGGATGGCCTTACTCATTTTTTATTTTCTGGCTTGGTGCAAGCATGTATCCTTAATGAATTATCTTCCCATATCCCAAAGGACTTTCATACCCATTTTCACCCTGCTGAATAGTTTTTTTTTTTTTTCTTTTATTTTCAACCAACTAACCAACCACTCCTACCCCCTCAACCAAATCCCACCTTTTGGCGTTAATATACTTTTCTTTCTTTCTTTTTTTTTTTTTTTAACTTTTTTTTTTTTCTTTAGAGGATTTTATTGATTTGACAGAGAGAGACACAGTGAGAGAGGAACACAAGCAGGGGGAGTGGGAGAGGCAGAAGTAGGCTTCCCATTGAGCAGGGAGCCCACTGCGATCCCAGGACCCCAGGATCACGACCTGAGCCGAAGGCAGACGCTTAACGACTGAACCACCCTGGTGCCCCTAATATACTTTTCTTATGTGAATTTTAGAATTGTAATATCTCTGTGCTTCCAGCATCAGAGAAATGGTTGACACATGGAATGAACTTAATAAGCATCTTCTGAATCCCTAAAAGAAAGAGGAGTGGAACACAGGTATGAAATGGCACTAAGCCTAGACCAGTGTTCCTGGCAGTGCCTGGGCTGCCCAGAAATGCACATGCGCCCTAAGGGACATTTTCGGGGAAGCAGCTTCTGCTTTAACTGGGACCAAGGCCCTGATTTGTCGGTTTCAGCCTTAGACTGAGGTTTTAAAATTCCTTACATTTCCTGATATTGTCACTCCACATATACTTGGAGAATAGACAAGGTCCTGTTCTGGAAGCTGGAAAAACCTCCACAGGTTTGTCCTTCTTGGAGGACTTTGAGAATCACTTAGCATTGTAATACTAGTGCAGTTTCCTCCTGAAGAAATCCATGTGATAGAGGAAGCATTGCTCTGCTCCCAAGTGCTCAGTGATTTAAATCACAGCAGTTTTACCTATCTCCCATCCAAGTACTAACCAGGCCTGACCCTGCTTAGCTTCCGAGATCAGACGAGATCGGGCGCGTTCAGGGTGGTATGGCCGTAGACAGTTTTACCTATCTCAATGGACTTTTATGATGTTTTGGTGTTATTATCTTTATTTTTAAAAATAGACAAACAGAGCCGTTGGAGAAATAAGATCCGAAAGAGAGACAAATTCTGTGGCATGATTAAGGCATTGGAACACAGAAATGGCTGAACTGGGGAGAGAGAGGGACAGAGAGAGACAAGGAGTAAAACCAAGAACAAAAGAAAACAGGTATCTTCTCTTCATTTGTGGGTTTCTCATCTTTCCCTCACCTTTTATACAGAACAGACCAATAGTGGAGCGAGCAGCTGCTTGACGGATGGTGGGCAGGGTGTCACAGGAGTGAGGAGCCAGGAGGCCCAGGAGGGAGCCGATTTTAAAGTCCTCTGGAGCCTGCAGGATAAAGAAGACCCCCAAAGTGACGGGGCGGCTTGCCGACATCCCAGGATAGTCCCAACAACACTGGATGTGAAGTCCCTTGTTTTCCCCTGAAAGGTCCTTAGGATGAAATTGAATTGTGAACCTTCCCTTTAAGGACACTGGAAAAGTGAGCCTGGGAGCTTGTAAAAGCAACCAAATAGTTTAATCCTGGTGTGCTTGCCACCCCCCGGGGTTAGGAGCTTCCTCTTAGGTTCTTTTTTGGGAAGCACCCCCTTCTGGGACTAGAGCTTCAGCATGCAGGGACTTTGGATTCCAGAACCCTCGAGATCCCCGTGTTTGCAAGCAATGAAATCTACTCATTCCAGGGGACGGCTTACCTCGATATCGTTTGTCAGCACTTTTGCAGTGATCTGGAAGGCTCTTTCTCTTTCCCAATCTTTTTGTGAGACAAGCCACATTCGGAGAAGCTGTTGGTCAAAGAATAAATGTTCTTTCCTTAGTACTCGCCATAGTCACTCATTCCCATTCTTCTGCCTCTTGTGCTCTCTCTGTCTCTTCTGAAATAGGGCACTCACCTCCCACAAACAATTCTTAAGTGGACTGGCCCTATGTGATGGGTTAAATGGGTCAGGCTGGACATCTCCCTGTGCAGAGGATGAGGTAGATTCTGGAGGGCTGTTTTGCAGCACAGATGAGGGAATGTGGGAATCAGTTTGAGCAATGGCCCTACTCACATTGAACATTTCTTGGCAGTCCTCCGCTTTCACATTATCCCACATCATGGTCCTCAGCAACCTTCCTAGGGCATCCATGGATCGTTCATAGAGGAACTGAAATCCAATGTGAGCATGAGTGTCAGACTGAGGCTGGAGGTTAGAGTCCCACTGTAGCTCTCGAGTCTCCTCAGGCCTCACCCCTACGTACACTGATGTGCTCCTTGTCCTTGTCTGTCTCGCCTTCATCTTTGAGTTTTTCCAGAGGTGGAAGGGGAAGCAGCCTGCGAATATTTTCTTCGAGAATATTTAGGTGGTCATTGAGTGGGAGCTGAGGTTTCAGTTTACTGAAATGAGAAGGATGTGGAGGGATAAGTATTAACATGACAAACAAAACGCAGCCTAGAAGAGTTCCCTGCCAACCACATCTAAGTGGTCAGATATGCTTGCTGACATGTTGGAATGTTGAGGGGAGTGGTGACAGAAGTAGGGAGAGGTTGGGGACATAGAATCAAACTGTACTGTTGCACATAGTCAACACACCTCATTTCTAATTTTTTTAGAGTAATAAACAATCATCATTAGTGTTGTGTTACTTAGCCCTTTATTATATGATCTGTGATAACATTAGCCTACTTGTTTTTTCTAGTGCCTATGGGTTTTGTGTGTGCGTGTATGTTTGTGTTGGGGGAGATTCTAAGTTTGGAGCAGTTTTATCAATTTCATATGATTTCTCATGTTATAAGTAGCATCATACATACTGAATGTACCTATAGTAAAGTGGCTGGACTCTTCCTCCACTTCCACTCCCTCCCTCCCTCCCTTTCTTCCTACCTTCTTTCCTTCCTTCCTTCCTCCCTCCTTTCCCTCCTTCCCTCCCTCCCTTTCCTTCCTTCCTTCCTTCCTTCCTTCCTTCCTTCCTTCCTTCCTTCCTTCTTTCCTTCCTTCCTTCCTTTTTTCCTTCCTTCCTCTCCTTATTCCTTTCTTTCAGTCATTTACTATAAACATCATGAGGATATGAACAAACCTAGACATAACTTGGAAAAATGCAAATGTTTAATAAACATGAAAATCCCCATGTATTATTTAATAAATGTAAATCAGGACAATACACTACCACTTGTCAGCTATCAAATTATTAAAGAAATTTATGAGACTGGCACACTGCCTAATGCACTAAGGAGGTAGGTAGCAAAGAAATTTAAAATGATGACATGGTGAAGTCCCAAAAGTTCATTTTTGATTTTGTTTCCTTTGCCTTTGGAGACATATCTTGAAAGAAGTTGCTGTGGTCAAGATCAAAAGCTTCTGCACAGCAAAGGAAACAGTCAACAAAACAAAGAGGCAACCCATGGAATGGGAGAAGATATTTGCAAATGACACTACAGACAAAGGGCTGATATCCAATATCGATAAAGAACTCCTCAAACTCAACACATACAAAACAAATAATCACTTCAAAAAATGGGCAGAAGACATGAACAGACACTTCTCCAAAGAAGACTTAAAAATGGCTAACAGACACATGAAAGAATGTTCATCATCATTAGCCATCAGGGAGATTCAAATTAAAACCACATTGAAATACCACCTTACACCAGTTAGAATGGCCAAAATCAACAAGACAGTAAACAACAAGTGTTGGAGAGGATGTGGAGAAAGGGGAACCCTCTTACACTGTTGGTGGGAATGCAAGTTGGTGCAGCCACTTTGGAAAACAGTGTGGAGATTCCTCAAGAAATTAAAAATAGAACTTCCCTATGACTCTGCAATTGCACTACTGAGTATTTACCCCAAAGATACAGATGTAGTGAAAAGAAGGGCCATATGTACCCCAATATTCAGAGCAGCAGTGGCCACAGTCACCAAACTTTGGAAAGAACCAAGATGCCCTTCAATGGTTGAATGGATAAAGAAGATATGGTCCATATATACATGTTTTACATATATACAATGGAGTATTATGCCTCCATCAGAAAGGATGAATACCCAACTTTTGTATCAACATGAAAGGGACTAGAAGAGATTATGCTGAGTGAAATAAGTCAAGCAGAGAGAGTCAATTACCATATGGTTTCACTTACTTGTGGAGCATAAGGAATAACATGGAGGACATTGGGAGATGGAGAGGAGAAGTGAGTTGGGGGAAAACGGAGGGGGAGACAAACCATGAGAGACTGTGGACTCTGAGAAATAAACTGAGGGTTTTGGAGGGGAGGGGGTGGGAGGTTGGGTGAGCCTGGTGATGGGTATTATGGAGGGCACGTATTGTATGGAGCACTGGGTGTGGTGCATAAAAAATGAATTTTGGAACACTGAAAAGAAATAAAATAAAATGAAATGAAAAAAAAAATGATGACATGGTCAGAGAAGGGGGAAACTGGTTCTCTCATAGGGGAGTAAAAGTCAGTACCAGCTGGGATAGGTCTATTGAAAGGGTTAAATATGTTGATACAAGCTGGATAGTCTTTTCATCTTTACTGTCTGGCTGACAAAAAAAAATCAATTTATTGAGGTATAATTTATGCACAACAAGCTGCATCTATTTAAAGTATGCAATTAAATGAGTTTCACACCCATGAAATCACCACTATAATCTATAGAGAACACCCACATTTTTCCTTATGCCCCTTTGCAGCTCATCTCTTCCTTCACACTGGCCCGGGCAAACATTGATTGGTTTTCAGTCATTAGAGATCACTTTGCAAGTTCTATAGGTGTTCTGTCCAAATGAGGGTAGCCACTAGCAACATGTTGTTATCCAACACCTGAGTGTGGCTAGTTTGAATTAAGACATGCTATAGTTCTAAAACATGCTGGATTGTGGAGAATTAGTGTGAAAAATCATGTAAAGTATCTCATTACATTTTAAAATAACAAATACATGTTGAAAAGATGATATACTGAATATATTAAGTATAATTAATCAAGCAAAATAATTATTAAAATTACTTTGTCTCTTTTTTACTCTTTTAAAAGTGACTGCTAGAATATTTTAAATGACATATGTGACTTGCATTCTATTTTTACTTGACAACACTGTTTTAGAGCCTAGTAATTCTTAATTAATCTTCAAGATTTATTTATTTGAGCTTCCTTCAAACTTCATTTATCTTTGTAAACATGGCAATGTGTGCCTTCCTTTACGTTGCTTCTTACTGCATTTTAGAGAAATTAGGTGGGTATGTTTTGCATCTATTTTACTCGGTAGGCAAGGCCATATTTTGTTAATGATTATCCTTTTTAAATCTAGCTCCATGCCTGATACATGGATGACACTGAATAATATTTATTGAACCAAATTGTCAGCTTTTATAATCAAAAGTTCAGAGAACACTTTTTGCACAAAAATGTTCACCAAAATATTACTGAAAACTGACAAATATATACAAAATATACAAATATACAAAAACTGACAAATATAACAAGAGGTGGTTGGTTAAGTAATATGAGACATATTATACAATAAGTTATCAAGCAGCCATTAAAAATGGTGTTTGTGGGTGCCTGGGTGGCTCAGTTGGTTAAGCGACTGCCTTCAGCTCAGGTCGTGATCCTGGAGCCCCAGGATTGAGTCCCAAGGGTATCCCAAATAGCCAAAATAATCTTGAAAAAGGACATAGTTTCCATTCAGGTCATGATCTCAGGGTCCTGGGATTTGGCCTCAAGCTGGGCTCTGAGCTCAGTGGGTAGTCAGCTTGAGATTCTCTCTCTCTCTCTCTCTCTCTCTCCCTCAGTCCCTCACCCTGCTCATGCATTCTCTCTCTAAAATAAAAAAAATAAACCTTAAATAAAAAGAACCCAGAAAAAAACAAATGTTGGCAAAAATATGGAAAAATGAGAATCCTTATGCACTGATGATGGGAATGTAAAATGGTGTTACTCTTATAAAAAGCAGTATGGTGGTACCTCAAAAAAATAGAATTTTTGTATAATACAGCAATCCTACTTTTAGGTATACTCAAAGGACTTGAAAGCAAGGTCTAGAAGAGATATTCATGGGGTCCATGTTCATTAGTGTCACTATTCACAACAGTCAAAACATGAACACAAACCAAGCATCCATTGGATGAATGGATTACCAAAATATGGCATATACATTAAATGGAATATTATTCAGCCTTAAAAAGGAATGAAATTTTGACACATGTTTTCACATAGATGGACAATAAGAAATACTACATGATTCCATTAATATGAGGTTAACTGAAGTATGTAATTCATAGAGACAGAAGGTAGAATGGGGGTTGCCAACACTGGTGGGAGGAGGGAATGGGGAGTTGTTTAATGCATGTAGAACTTCAGTTTTGCAAGATGGGAAGAATTTTTGAGGTTGATTGCACAACAATACAATTGTACTTAACACTACCGAAATATACACTTAGAAATGGTTAAGATGATACATTTTGTGGGTACTTTACCATGATGAAAATATATTTTTTAAACAATGGAAAAAACAAAGCTGGTGACGAATTGGTAATAATGGGGGAATATGTAAGACGAAATGGGGAAAAAACAGGATGTATAGCTCTATGTAGAGTGAGATCTCAGGTCTCTTCTTAACATGAAGAATTAGGTATAAAGACTTGAAGGACATATACCAAAATGTTGAAAATAAGGGGTGATTTTTATTATTTTTTAAAAAGTTTTTAGAGTTTCCAAGTTCTAACAATGAGTTTATATTACTTTTACTGCAGGGAGAAAATATTATTTTAAAAATTTAGTTAAAATCATTTCCTCCTGCAGGTTTAGTGCTACTAACCAACTAAAATATGATTAGGGCTTTCATAATTTTTAATGGGAATATTAAAATTTCCTTCTGCACAGAAACTTCAATTCTCATGTATCAATAAATGTGACTCCTCTGAGTAGTTCTTTATCCCTTTTACTCTTCGAAGGGTTGGCCTCTCAGTCAGTCCTGTAAGTTTGAGAAGAGGGAATATCGGAGGGGAAGACAAACCATGAGAGACTGTGAACTCTGAGAGACAAACTGAGGGTTTTGGAGGGAGGTTGGGTGGTTAGAGGTTTGGAGGGAGGTTTTGGGGGGGTTGGGTGAGCCTGGTGGTGGGTATTAAGGAGGGCACATATTACATGGAGCACTGGATGTGGTGCATAAACAATGAATTTTGGAACACTGAAAAAAAATAAAATTAAATTAAAAAAAAAGAGAGAGAGAAAAGCCTCTATTTGGGAAAAACAAAACAAAACAAAACCAACCAACCATTGATGAATTGTGTTCATTTGTGGGGAGGGTACACTGGAGTATCCACTGATTGATAAGTCAGTTGATCAGAAAGAGGATCTTGGGGAGGAAATGTTTTTTTTTTTTTCAATGAAAGCAAGAAAACTTCTCTACCTGAGGTATCTGATGGCGATTAAGGCTTTCCACCGAACAGGGCTAGCTAGGGAGTCCAGGGGCTCATCCCTGATGAAGTCCTGCAACACAAAGGGGTGAAATATTCTAAAAAGGATGTGGGGAGTTTCCAGATGGAGCTGCAGCCCCATTGGACTGTTGGGTGCCCTTGGTCCATATAATGGTAGAGATCTGTTACCTGGGACTGGTGCGTTGTACCCGTTTAAAAAAGACAGCTCTGACTCTCAGTAACAGACTTTTCAAGACCTTGCCCATGTCCTCTCTGCACACTTACCAGCATGTAACCCAGCAGCACCTCCTTGTATGAGAACTTGAATCCCTGATCCTCAGCATCGTGGACAGCAATACCAATCTCAGTGACAGTTCTTGTGAAACTCATTTGCAGATCCATGTCCTAAAGTAAAATGATTCACAGTGCAAACCAAAGTCCTGGGTTCCACACTTGGTTCTATAAACTCAGTTCTAGACCTAGGGTTGAACTTTGTGCCCAGAGAGAAATGGGAATCTCTCTTCTTTAGCTATTTCTACCTCAGTCTAGGGTCAAAGTTGCAGGGAAGTTAAAAACCAAGGTCAAATTCTACTCTCACCCCCCACCCCTGTCCCCCATAGATTGAGGTTATCTACAGCAGTGGCTTTCAAACTTTTTGAACATTAAGTACACAAACTGTAAGAAACAGTTTACAAGTCCACTCTGTATTTACATGCTATATATATATATATATATATATATATATATATATATATGAACATATATGTATAATAACTGAAATGAAAGTTTTATGATACTTCTTGTTGCTAAATGTAATGTACTCTTCTATTTCTCTTTTATTTCACCACAAAAGTTTGCTGGTTGTGATCTATTCTGTTAGACTGATTTCATGGTCTTCTGGTGGGTCATAGTGCATGGTTCTAAGAACACTGCTCCAGGTTCAGTATAACTCTCAAACCCACCTAGAACCAAATATAGCTCTCTGTTTTGTCTTAGATTAGGCTCAGGGATCCTGGCTTCAGGAACAGATTGATTAGTCATATATTGGGATCCTTTCCTCTGGAATCAAACCAAGAGGACATCTGTGTTACTGCATTTCCAGGAAGCATGTTATGTATTCAAGTATATCAAATATATTGCATACCTTGCTCATCACAGACACGCCCAGAACCTGAAAAACCAAAGGCAAAAGCAGATACTAGAGCAGCAGTTAGAGTTCCCTCCTCCAGGAAAAAGACACACCCCCAACCTGAAAACAACAGCTAAGCAGGACACTGAGTCTTCCTAAAGGGCAGGGGCAGTTGCATCCTCCCCCATTTCCAAAGAGAGACCCTGTACATTGACAGACTTTTCCCCCAGGGGAGTCTAATCTATAGAAAGCAGCATAAAGAAATCAAGGCTTTGGGTTTCAAGCCTCATGATTTAAAGAGGTTCTACCAGACTTTGGTAAGAAGAAGAGTAGAGGCTCTTGGCAGAAGGAGCAGTGAAAAGCTGTAAAGTGAAAGTTAATAGGGCAGCTGACTTTGGAACTGGGACACAATCAGTTCTGCTGGGATGCTTGCCTTGGAAAAGGAAATTTGTCTCATTGAAATTGATATGTGAATACTTCTAGTATATTCTGAATTTTGTGTTTGCTTATGCACAGTTTTGTCCATGACAGCAGAAGGTGAGCTAGTTGAACTGATTTGTGTAGGAATAGTCACACGAACACCTCAAACATGTCAGTTGATTCAGTTTACCGTGGTATGAGCTGCTTCCTATTCAAATCTGACATTCTAGCTGATTTCAGATGACCTTTCTTCCCATCACCATTTCACAATAACTCATCACTTTCCCAAGTGCATTCCGGTGTTTTTCAAGAAAAGTGCCATATTTTTTTTTTGTAGTGTTTCTGAACTTCTTAGATGGTCTTCAAAATTAGATGCCAGGGGCACCTGGGTGGCTCAGTCTGTTAAGCATCTGCCTTTGGATCAGGTCATGATTCCAGGGGCCTGGGATCACTCCCTGCTCCATGGGGAGCCTGCTTTTCCCTCTGCACCCCCCATGCTCTCTGCTCTTGCTCTCTCTAGCTATCTCTCTCTCAAATAAATAAGTAAAATATTTTAAAAAATAAAATTAGATTCCTGTTTTTTATATGTCATTGGTGGGGTTTTTGAATATTGTGCCCCTCCCTCGTTTTCTCCATAATCCCTGTGTTTTTTCTTCTTCTATCTTGTGTATATGTTGTGCTATGGAAGAATTGACTGTACCTTGAAAGTGTACAGTCATCCTTATCTAAAACATCTATATCTCCTTTTCTCTTGTCTTTTTATCATAATTTGCCTCAATGATTGACTAAAATTAATGTAACACAAACCATCTTTTTTCAATTACGTTTTCAATTATGTTTTGCTTATTAAATTTTGGGTACATCAGAATCACCTTTTGGGGGGGCGTGTTAAAAATACAGATTAAGAGATCCAACTCTGAAGACTGGGATTCATTAGGGATCTCTTTCTTTAACAGGGCTCCAGGTCATTTTCAGACAACTGAAGTGTGAGGATCACTGTCCTATTTCCTCCCACTAGCATATACTTATATCTGTGATATCACGAGTTCCTTATGATTCCATTCTTATCACATACACACATGAATACATGTCAAGAACAGATTTATCAAACAGGTGGGGTGTGGAGAGCAAGAAGCGGAGATAAGGGAGCATAAGGTATAATCTATAACATCAAGGTGTCGACAATCTAATGTGGGAGTGGATGTGCACATAATCAGTAAAAGCTTCCGGATGGATAAGAATCACTTCTAAATCTCTTAAAAATACAGATGTCAGATTCCAACCCAGACCTACTGAATCAATTTCCCTGAGAAATGGCTCTGGGAAGCTGTATTTCAAACTTGAACCCAGGGTGATTTTTAGGTGGCTAAACTGGTACTACTCAGCAAAATGACCAAGTTGACAATATATCTAAAGCACTTTATTAAAGATATAAGAAGTACTACAGGGGACAGAAATGATCAGATGAATTCCAATTCAGTTGTGGGGTTCTGAGGCAGGAATATTCCTGGCATGTTTGAGGAACAAGGACAGTCAGGGTGACTGGTATGAATGTGTGTGTTGGGGGTGTAAAATGGTACAGCATGGGTAGGTTAATTAATGATGTATTTTTATTCTTTTAAAAATACATGTATTGCACTTCTTATTTGTGAGGCACTGTTTTGGGTGGTTTATCTATACCATGTAAAAAGTTACACAACCACCATTAGTAACATTTCAGAGACTATAACAGGGAAGTAATGAAACAGCTGCTCTAAAGTAGTACTGGAGTCATTATTTTAAGTTCAGACTTGGGGGAGAACACTATGGGTACTTGATCTAGGGAGGTATCATAGGCCATGAACTACCTAAAGTCTTAGAAAAGAAACAAATTACCTGACCCTGTTTCATAATGAATTTTTCTGTTCTCTTCTGTTCTCATCTTCCAAACTACCAGGTGCTATCTTGCCTTTGGCCTGTATCCTTTAAGCATGAATATTCCTAAGAGGTGAGCCCCTCCAAGATTTGGGAACCCTAGCCTGGAAATCGAGGCACCCTGTGCTCGCTGTTACCTGAGAGCACTGGCCATAAAGAAAGAGGACTTGGGAAACAATGTCTTGATCAAGCCTGGTGAGGAGTTGACCCTTGGGAGCATGGAGGGCCACGGCTCCATAGATTACCATGACATCAATCTTGGTCAGGCTCTTTTTCCCAGAAAAAATACCCTGAAAGAGAGACATGAAAACTATGACTGAAGGTGTTTCCTTTCCTCCATGTTGTTTCCTAATTCTACAGACCACTACAGGGTTTAAGAAATGGGACTGGGATGATGAAAATTAGTTTAAAACTGATACTCTTGCTTGTCAAATTTAAACACCTGGGACTGTGTTGTGGCTCTCTTTGGCTTTAAAAGAGGTCCCTGTGAGAAAGCTTGGGTTACTTTTTATTTATTAAATCCCCTTTCTTCAGGGGAAGTGTAGTGTACCCAGTGGAAACTGACCATGAGGCCTGAGCAGCTGGTAGAGGGACAAAAGGAGGCACACAAAGAACTCATTAGGACCTTCCAGGTCAGCACTAGTGACAGAAACTGGAGGAGACCTGTTAGACAGCTGGTCATTCTACAGGGTCCAGGCTTGGGCAATTCTCACCTGGAATAAAGACCTGGGGAGAGGGACAAGTATGATATGGAAAAGGATGTTCACTGAAGGAATCAGTGTGGTTTGCCCTTGCTGTGACCAAAAGCTTTGGAAGAGAAGGTTAGTCTTTTTACCTTACATCGATTCATGAAAAACTTTTCCCGATCTTGGAATGTTTTAAGAACTTTTAAAACAGTATCCAAGTGGCTTTCAGCACAGTATCCTAAAATAGATGTTATTCCCTAAAGTCAGAAAAGATAGGAATTTTGAGTTTAACCATTCATTTATTCAAAAAATATTTATGGAGCACCCGTTATGTGTCAGGCACTCTTCTAGGTGCTTGGGACGCAACAGTGAACACACACCAAACTCCCCATCCTTGTGGTGCACACAACCAGGGGAAGTGACAGGGAAGTGACATTAAATAAACACATAAATTCAGTAAACATGTAAATATCTAGTACTTTGAGGGTGACACATGTTATGGAGATAAGGAAAACAAGGAAAGAGAATAACTGCTGCAGGTTAGGGGGAGTTCTCAATTAAATAGGGCAGATGGAGAAGGCTTCATAAACAGGGGTGACATTGAGCAGTGTTCTGAAATAAAGGAGAGAGCAAGTCATTGGACTGTGTGGGAAGGAGAGTTTCAAACAGGATGGGGAAAATGGTGTTAGAAAAATTGCCAAGAGCAATAAGATAACAGGACATCTGACAAGGAGAAAATAAATAACATAATAAAAAAGCAGTTTCAAAAATTCAGTAAGTCTAGTGGTTTCTGAACATTTAATATGAAAGAAAGGATCATGTAAACATCTCAAAATTTCTGAGAATGTATAACAAAATATACTACAGGTTTTTTTTTTTTTTTTTTTTTTTTTTATACTAGGTGGTCTTTATTAGCCCTGGGAGTTTTTCTTTTAATTTATTTTTTATTTTCTAAATACATACACTCTCCTTTCTCCACATTTGCAAACATTGTGCAGCCTAGCCAGGGTAGGGAATGGCAAAACTGCTTTGAAAAAGCTCCCCAGGTTAGGCTTATGCTTTCTCTAGGTTGAAAATCCATGGTATGTAAGGTTATTTTCAGGTTGTAAAGTCAATGATTTTGAAGCTTCTGATTATATAAGGTCAAAATATGTCAAAAATATTTATTAAGGATAATTGAAATTCGTTTTGCAATATTTTTACAAATCTGGTTAAATAAATGAAATATTAATCTGAGGATGCTGGTTCAATATTCAAAAATCAGTCAACATGATACACCGTATCAACAAAGGGGTAAAAACCATATAATCATTTCAATAGATGCAGAAAAATTATTTGACAAAGCACAACATCCATTCATGATAAAAACCCTCAGCAAGGTTGTTTAGAGGGAACATACCTCAACATAATAAGACCATATATGAAAAACCCACAGCTAATAACATACTCAATGGTGAAAAACTGAGAGCTTTCCTCCTAAGATCAGGAACAAGAAAGGAATGTTCACTCTCACCACTTTTATTCAACAAAGTACTAGAAATCCTAACCACAGCAAAGAGGCAAGAAAAAGAAATAAAATGCACCCAAGTTGATAAGGAAGCAGTGAAACTTTCACTATTTGCAGATGACATGATATTATGTATAGAAAGTCCAAAAGATTACCAAAAACCTAGTAGAACTAATAAATACATTCAATAAGGTCACAGGATACAAAATTGGTATACAGAAATTGGTTGTATTTTTACACAGTAATCATGAAATAGCAGAAAGAGAAACTAAGGAGGGGATTATGCTAAGTGAAATAAGTCAAGTAGAGAAAGACAATTACCGTATAGTTTCATTCATATGTGGAACATAAGGAATAACACAAGGGCCACAGGGGAAGGGAGGGAAAACTGAATGGGAAGAAACCAGAGAAGGAGACAAACCATGAAAGATTCTGGACTCTGGGAACTGAACTGAGGGTTACAGAAGGGAAGGGGCTTAGGGGATGAGGTAACTGGGTGATGGGTACTAAGGAGGGCAGGGATTGTGATGAGCACTGGGTGTTATATGCAACTAATTAATCGTTGAACACTATATCAAAAACTAATGAGGTACTTTATGTTGGCTAACTGAACATAATAATAAAAAGAAAAAGAAATTAAGAAAATAATCCCATTTATGATTGCACCAGAAATAATAAAATTATTATATTAACTATACTTAATTATTAACTATACTACAGTTATTGACTTAGTTAATATGGTAATTAACTTAGTTAATATAGTAATTAACTTAGTTAGGTATAGTTAATTATATTTAGTCATTAACTATAATTATTAACTATACTTAGTTATTAACTAAAACTTTAGTAAACTTGACTAAGGAGGTGAAAGACTTGTACTCTGAAAACTATAAAACATTGTTGAAATAAGTTGAAGATGACACAAATGGGAAGCTATTCCATGCTCATGGGTTGGAAGAACAAATATTGTTAAAATGTCCATACTACCCAAAGTAATCTACAGACTTAGTGAAATTCCTATCAAAACACCAACAGCATTTTTCACAGAACTAGAACAAATAATCTTAAAATTTGTATGGAACCACAAAACAATTGGCAAGAGCAATCTTAAGAAGAATAAAACTGGAGGTATCACAACTCCAGATTTCAAGTTATACTACAAAGCTGTAGTAATCAAACAGTATGGTATTGGCACAAATACATACAAATAGGGACATGATTATAAGGTCAATTAATCTTTTGACAAAGGAGGCAAGAATGGTACTGGTACAACTAGAAAGCTACATATAAAAGAATGAAACTGGACCACTTTCTTACACCATACACAAAAATAACCCAAGATGGATTAAAGACTTAAATGTGGGCCTTGAAACTATAAAAATCCTAGAAAAAAGAGCAAAGGCAATAATTTCTCTGATATTGGCCTTAGCAACATTTTCTGCCTATGCCTCCTGAGGCAAGGGAAACAAATGCAAAAATAAACTATTAGGACTACATAAAAATAAAAATTTATGCACAAAAAAGGAAAGCATCAATAAAACTAAAAGACAACCCACAGAATGGGAGAAGATATTAGCGAATGACATATCTGATAAGGGGTTATTATCCAAAATATATAAGGAACTTATAGAACTCAACAACCAAAAAACAGATATCCAATTAAAAATGGGCAAAAGTCATGAACAGACATTTCTGCAAAGAAGACATACAGATGGTCAACAGACACATGAAACGATGTTCAGCATCACTCATCAATAGTCAGGGAAGTGCAAATCAAAACTACAATGTGATACCACCTCACACCTATCAGATGGCAAAAATCACAACCATAAGAAACAAGAGTTGGCAAGAATGTGGAGAAAGGGGAACCCTCTTACCCCATCAATGGGAATGCAATTGGTGCAGTTACTCTGAAAAACAGTATGGAGTTTCCTCAAAAAGTTAAAAATAGAAGTACCCCATGACCCAGCAATTGCACTACTGGGTATTTACCCAAAGGATACAAAAACATAGATTTGAAGGGACACACCACTCTGATGTTTATAGCAGCATTATCAACAGTAGCTAAGTTATATGGAAAGAGCCCAAATGTCCATTGACTGATGAATGGATAAAGAAGATGTATTATAATATTTACTTAACCACAGAAAGAATGAAATCTTCCCATTTGCAATGATGTGGATGGAACTAGAGTGTATTATGCTAAGTGAAATAAGTCCATCAGAAAGAGACAAATACCATATGATTTCACTCATATATGGAATTCAAGAAATAAAACAGATGAACATATGAGAAGGAAGAAAAAGATAGAGGGAACCAAATCATAAGAGACTCTTAATGATAGAGAACAAACTGAGGGTTGATGGAGGGAGGTAGGTAGGGGATGGGCTAAATGAGTATTGGGTGTTACATATAAGTGATTAATCACTAAATTCTACACCTGAAACCAATTTTACCACATGTGTTAACCAACTAGAATTTAAATAAAAACTTGAAAAGAAAAAAAAGAGAAAAAAATAATAACAACATACTAAGTAAAAAGTAAGAAGTCAGAACTTCTGCTAAAATCCATCCATCAATGATATCAAAGATAACAAACAGTCCTTTTCTGAATATAGTTTCACAGTAGATACACTCTATTGTACTCTTAGCAAAGAATCATTATCCAGTTAGAGTTGGATACAGAAGTTGGTTCCTGAAAACTCTTCACATTAACATCAAACAGAACCCATCGCTTGATAAAAAATGTCTGGAAAGCAAAACATTTTAACTCTTCCCAACTCCTCCCCCACCCACATATATTCAGATATAGAATTTGGAAAATATAAATCAAAGAAAATTAATAAAAAAACAAAATCATCCAGAATCTTCCACCCAAACATAATGACTATTTAATATTTTGGCATATTTCTTTCCAGTTTTTATAATTATAAAAATTAGGATCACTTTCTATATTCAGCTTTGTATCTTCATGTTTTTCACTTAATATTAAAAGCACTTTTCCATATTTCTAAATAATTTTCAAAAACATGACTTATGATTGTGTAGCATTTCATGGATGATACACCATATTTATTATAACTATCCCCTCACTGTTGGACACTTCCACTATAATAAATAATGCTGTGATCAATACATGTCTAAATCAATTTAAAAAAAAAAGGAAAACAGAACTACCCTATGATCCACTAATTGCACTACTGGGTATTTTTCCAAAGAATACAAAAACACTAATTTGAAAGGATATATGCACCCTTATGTTTATAGCAGCTGTATCTATAATAGCTAAATTATGGAAGCAGCCCAAGTGTCCATTGGTAGATGAATGGATAAAGAAGTTGTGGGGAAAAAAAAATATATATACATATATATACATACACATATATAATGAAATATTACTCAGCCATAAAAAAGAATGAAATCTTGCAAATTTGCAGCAACATGGATGGAGCTAGAAAGTATAATACTAAGTGAAATAAGTCAGTCAGAGAAAGATAAACACCATATCTTTTCACTCATATGTAGAACTTAAGAATTAAAACAAAACAAATGAACAAATGAACCAAGGGGGAAAAAAGAGAGAGGGAGAGAGAGAGACAAACCAAAAAACAGACTCTTCACTATAGAGAACAAACTAAAGGCTACCAGAGGGGAGGCTGGCCATCTCTATGTCCTCTTTGAAAAAATGTCTATTCATGTCTTCTGCCCATTTTGTAACTGGATTATTTGTGTTTTGGGGTGTTGAGGGTGTTGAGTTCTGTAAGTTCTTTATATATTTTGGATACTAACCCTTTACCAGATATGTTGTTTGCAAATATCTTCTCCCATTCTGTAGATTGCTTTTTAGTTTTGTTGACTGTTCCCTTCACTGTGCAGAAGCTTTTCATTCTGATGAAGCCCTAAAGTGTATTTTTGCATTTGTTGCCCTTGCCTCAGGAGGCATATCTGGTAAGAAGTTTCTACAGCTGATGTCAAAGAGGTTACTGGTTGTGTTCTCTTCTAGGATTTTAATGGTTTCCTGTCTCACATTTAGGTCTTTAATCCATTTTGAATTTATTTTGTGTATGGTGTAAAAAAAATGGTCCACTTTTATTCTTTTGCATGTTGCTGTCCAGTTTTCCCAACACCATTTGTTCAAGAAACTTTTTTCCATTTGATATTTTTTCTTCTTTGTCAAAGATTAATAGATCATATAATTGTGGGTAGTCAATTCTGTTCTATTGATGTGTGTCTGGTCCATTTTTGTGCCAATACCCTACTGTCTTGATCACTACAGCTTTATAATATAACTTGAAGTCTGAAAATTGTGATACCTCCAGCTTTGCTTTTCTTTTTCAAGATTGCTTTGGCTGTTTGGGGTCTTTTGTGGTTCCATAGGTAAAGGGGTTTAAGAGTACACATCACGATGAGCACTACGTTATACACCTGAAACTAATATAACACTGTATGATAAATATTCTGGAATTAAAATAAAAAGATAATGAAGCATTGATATTTAAACAGGGAAGCACCACTTTTCTGAAAAATTCTGTTTGATTATTTTGAATGTATCCATGAATTCTTGGTAAGTAAGACATTGTCATAAGACCTGCCAGTGGCTTTCCAGATGGAATTCATTACCATCATCATAAGAGGACATTGAGAGAAAGGGGTCCCACCTGTCGCTGATCCCCCAGTTGGTTGGGAGCAATCAGAAATTCCTTAATCTGTGAGCTTACAAAGTCTATATCTTGGCAGGATGCTAAGGTGGTTCCCAAGGCTTTCCAAAGGAATTTCTAGAAGACAAAAGATAAGCAACAGCATGTTAAAGATTGGAAAGAAAAACTCCAATGAAAAGTGGAAAGTGTTAAAACAGTCATCCAAAGGAAGGAAATTTAGCTACTTAATAAACATGTACTTCTAGTATTATCTCTTCCTGCAAGTGTTTTCTCCCCACCCCCACCCTCCCCAGCAAGACTGTCCTTACCAGTGCTCTTTCCTATTCCTCTAGGCCTTGTGCTGAGCCATGATAATACCTTTTATTCTTTATTGTAACATTCAATTTTCTTGTTTGTCTTTGTGCTCAGCATTTCAGTTCTCCATAACAGAGGGTCTTATGGTCACTCTCAGTGTATAGTCCCTGGTAGCTAATAAATGTTCAACAAATGATTTTAGATACATATACGAATGAAAATAAGATTATTTGAAGATGATGTCATCAGATATTCTCAACCTCCGAAGTATATCAACTTATTTTATTTAGGAAATTTAACCTATAATAGTTTTGAAAATAATACTTTGCCATCTCTACTATTATCTCTCTCTCAGGAGTAGGGTGAGTTGTCCAGAAGTTCTATAGCATGGTATTCAGGTGAAGGAGAAATGCCATACAGGAACTTTTACATACATGTTGTGTCTTTAGTAAGGGACTCTGAGTGAATCAGGGAAGGAAAACTCCCAATGAAAGAACACTGACAAGAGAGTATGTGGGAAATCATTCTGTGGCTTCCACATCCCTTAGAGTTGGTGAGAATATTGGATTCATTACACAAGCCCTAATATGGTTACCTCTGTAATGTCCAGATGGAGAAAAGGTGAGCAGAACAGACATGGCTTCCTCTTCTCTTTCATTACAAGCCATACAAGATTTAGAAGTAAGGCTGAGGGAACGGGGTAGCACAAGAGTGGCATCTGTTTGAACACCACAACATATGCCTGGATGTAAATACGTGTATGTACATGTGTGTATACATGTGTGTGTTACATATAGAACAGATCTATAGTCTTGTGGAAGTAAGATACAAGGAAAATATTCACAAGAGAAGATACTTGCCATATGGCTAGAAAAATGAGGTCATGAAGTCCTAATTTGTTTCCTAAGACTCAAATCATTTGTAGCTGTATAATATCAAATTATCATCTCCTTATTTAAAATGTCCATCTGGTCACACACATGAGAAAAAACTGGCCAGTTGCAGGCTTATTTCAAGGACTCTGCAGGGCCTGAAGGATTGTAGTGATTGAGTGGTCATTATGGATCAGAAGGAATCTATGGCACAGGAGGAAAGGAAAACCTGGTAGCAACCAGTAGAGTTCAGTTAGTCCATTCAGGAGAAATTGTACAGATCAGTGCAGCTAGGGGTGTGTGGTGTGCGTGAGGTAACAGAACAGGAGGAACAACTGCCCAGGTAAGAACCTGATGAGGCAGCACCCATTGCGCTCTTGGATTTCCAGGCAAAAAGCCCCCATGACAATGTAAACTATGATGAGAAAAACTGTGTACTGCACAGGAGTAAATATTAATTAGGGTTAAAGCTGCTAGAGTCTGTTTAACTCCACCTTGGAGGAAGTACAAGAGAAAGTCTGGAAAAGTCCTGTGTTGCAGGAAAAAAACCCAGTGTTATGAAGGGGACTTTTGTGTAAAGAGTTGGCCTCAGTGCCTCCCCTTCCCCCATACTGATGAGCTGTTGCTTCTCTGCTGATGGTGGTCAGATTCAGTGTACCGTGCATTCTTCCTTTGAGACTTGGAGAGGAATTCCAGAAATCAGGAACCCAGAACTGGGAAAAAATGTGGTCAATTGCAAAAACAGCCAGAGCCTTTCTATCTCACCTCTATCCATGCCTCCTTACTGTGAGAGTTTGCAGCTCCTCCTATTAGTATAGTCTATTTTGCCACTCCTCCAGTCTGGGTTGGCCTGGTGATTTGCTCTGGCCCACAGGAAGTGGCAGAAGTAACAGTGTGCCTCTTCTGAACCTAGACCTCAAGAGACCTTGTATACTTCACGGCCACAACCATGAGATCAAGCCTGGGCTGGCCAACTGGAGGAGGAGAGACCACAAGGAACAGAAACAAGTTGACCTAGTTGAGATCATGGCAGACTAGCCAAACCCCAGTATATGCCAGTGGGAGTAGTTGAGACCATATGGCTGCCCAGCTGAGTTCAGCCCACGCTGTCAGCCTGCGGACTTAGAAACCAAGTAGGTAGCTATTGCTTTAAGCCCCTAGTGGGTAGTTTGCTATGCAGCTAGAGTTAACTGGCATACTCTTACTTTCCCGTTGTTAAGTATAATGACTGAAAATCATTTAAGCAGCTCACTGCTTGAATTGCTCTGCCTATCCATATCAACATGACTTTGGACCCATCTCGGGAATCTGGAAGCTGTTGGATGGATGGTATTACATGAGATGCATGAGTCTAGTTGGTACATGAGACGATGAGGCATTGCTCACCAAATCCTCTTGAAGAGCATGTCTGTAGGCTTGATAGACCAATTTGGAGAATCAGTACTCTACCAAATTAGAGAATCAACCAGTGAGAGGAATTTTGAATATTGCATAGGAGAGTTGAAAGTTGATAATAAATAATTTGTTAGAACAGACACTTAACACTAGATCTGATGAGTTAGGAAATGTTTTTCCAGGAAAAAAAAATGAGAAATGTTAGAACCATAATTATAACATTGATCTACTCTTTATTGAGCACAAGTCTTCGGCCAGGTACTTACTTCACTAGGGACTTTATATACTTTATCTTTTTGAAACCTTATATCACCTCAATCCTCAGAGCCTGGTATAATTTCCATTTTAGATGAATATACTGGGGCTCCAGAGAGGTTAAGTAAGTTTCTTACACTTACATACATAGTAAACCGCAGAAGCTGGATTCAAACCCCTTTTAGAATGAATGGCTCCAATGCAGAGGGTTAGGTAGAAGCCATCTGGGGACAGAGGAAGGAGACAGCTGGCCTTTGAGCATTCTTTTAGCTCTCAGTTTTTGTTAAATTGTAGTAGATTGTTTCTCGTAGCCAGCATCACAAAACTGGCCCAGTGGAAACCAAGATATAAACTGGCATTCGGGGTGCCTGAGTGGCTCAGTGGGTTAAGCCTCTGCCTTCGGCTCAGGTCATGATCTCAGGGTCCTGGAATCGAGCCCCGAATCGGCTCTCTGCTCAGCTGGGAGCCTGCTTCCTCCTCTCCCTCTCTCTCTGCCTGCCTCTCTGCCTACTTGTGATCTCTGTCCGTCAAATAAATAAATAAAATCTTAAAAAAATAATAAACTGACATTAAACCAGTGCTGTGCAAGGGACCACTATTTGTCTTCATTATCTACTTTTCTCCCTTCTCTAAAACAGAACACCTGCATTTCAGCCAGGTACATATCTATCTTAAAGGCACTACATTACTCAGGTTTCCTTGTAGACAGGTGCTGTCCTATGAGTAGTTTTTGGTTAAATGCGAGGTGAAGAGAAGGTGATTTCTCCTTCTTTTTGGTGGTAGTCAGACCAATTGGAAGTTGAGCAGCCATGTTAGGTGATAAGGTAGAAAGTAAGTCCCTTAGTTGAAAAACCAACCTTCTCAAGGGAGGTGTTGCTGTAACTGCCCATTTGCTCCTTAAAATCTCGACTCAGTTGAATGGTCCAAGCTACGTCACTGATCTTCCATAAAGATTCTTTGAGTAACTGTTGCAGGAAGTGAAAGTTAGATATGAATACAACCGCTTAGTGTGCTTTCTTAGTACTTTCCTGTTACCTTAATTTTTTAAGTAAAAATATATAATAAATGAGATTATTCCTTTTCCCATTAAAAAAAACCTCATTATTTCCCTTCTTATTAAGTAAGAGGGAACTTTCCCTCTTATTTTATAAGTTTATTTATTTATTTATTTTTAGTAATCTCTACACACAATGTAGGGCTTGAACTCACAACCCTGAGATCAAGAGTCACATTCTCCTCCAACTGAGCCAGACAGGCGCCCTTTTCTTTATTTATTTTAATAGCTATATGCTGTTATGTTCTGAATTTCCAGTAAGAACAAGTTATTCAGAAGGTGGAACAAACTCCATGTAAGTGCCTTCCTTTTTCCTCTTATAAAAAAATTACCCAAAGTCTTAAAATAGAAATTAATCCACTTTGAAACTTAAATTGAAGTTAACATTTTTCAAGTTTGTTTTTTTTTTTTTTACATTTTTCAAGTTTTAAACAGATTTGAAAAAGCTTTATTTGTCAATGTTAGTTTGTTTTACTACATACTAAAAGAAAAAGAAAGGACATTTTTGGAATAAAGAGTTAAAATGCCTTGAAGAACCAATTAAATGTGCAAGTACATTTTGCTAACTTCAACTCTAGTAACTAAACATTCCTAGTTTCACCAATTGTTCTGAGCCAAGGCCTCAGTCAGCCATCTGAACCTATTTCCTTCTTCACTGAACAATATATGAAAAGGTGTTTTGTCTTTTTGGAGGACAAAATCCATTGCAATTTCTGAAGTCCATTATTTCTCCTGTATTTTCCCAACTTTGAGTTTAGAAAAGGACTTTTGGTGTCAAAGCCCATGAAGATTTCTAGGTATTCTCTTAGGAGCTCATTCAGTGAGTGGGCCGTTTGAAGAGAAGAAATTAAACCGCCTTGGAAGTCTGAGAGAAGGAGGTACATGCAAACAGTTTTGGGAGAAGGCTAAATAGAAATACACTCAAGATTGGAAGAGGGAAAAGAATGTTCTTGAGGCTTCCCTCTAGAGAGAAAACTTTCCTACCTAGTTGGAATAGTTACTTTAAAATGGTAACTGGGGAAAATAAGGTAGGAATTTTGAGGAAGAGAAGGGGGATGATAAAAGAAGCATGAATACAGGAGGAGAGGTAGATCCTAGAATTAAAGACCAGGAAAGTAGAGCAGCTACTTTCAAATCTCATATTGGTTAAGAATCATTTGTGGGAGTCTTTAAAACACACCAGTTCTCAGGAAACCATCTTAGAGACTCTGATTCTAGAAGGGGCAGTTAATGGAACATGGAGGTGATGAGGAAAGGTCACTAAAACTTGACATTTTTAAGAAGCCATAGTTAATTTCTATGTAAACAGCTTATGAACTGAGACCATGCTAGGTTAAAAGATCCCTTTCTGTGGGCTCCTTGACCTCCTGTAGTCTCCTGAAATCAAAATCCTCTCTGTAGAGCCAATGCCCAGCTCCTACTTGCACTTTACCATTTTGGGGATTTTGGATCTTTGTAACTGGTTGCAAACTGGTTGCCAAAGTCCAGAAATTTTATGGATTTTTTTTCTAGAAAAATGGTCTAATGTGGCTCTTTGGTTTTTAGAAATCAGGAAAAAACACAATGAGAAGCAGAAAGGTGAGGAAACAAAGTTGTATTTAGAAGCACAGAAGTGGAAATGATGTCAATTTGTGTTTATTTAAATGGTAAAAGAATGCAATTATAAGGAGAGGAAAAACTGGAAATTAGAGAAGATTTAAGATAGATACAGGGGAAAATATGAGTAAGTGAAATCTTCAATACTATCTTTTTTTAAAAAGATTTTATTTATTTATTTGACAGAGAGAGAGAGAGAGAGAGAGAGATCACAATTAGGCAGAGAGGCAAGCAGAGAGAGAGGGGGGAAGCAGGCTCCCTGCTGAGCAGAGAGCCTGATGTGGGGCTCGATCCCAGAACCCTGAGATCATGACCTAAGCAAAGGCAGAGGCTTAATCCACTGAGCCACCCAGGCACCCTAAAATCTTCAATACTATCTTAACTCTTAACCAAATCGAAGACTAAAGATTATTGTTCAAATTATGGTGATGTAGAGACTGTAATTCTTAAGCAATCACTTCTAACATTCTAGTCCTTTTCCTAAGGAAAAGAAACATTGTTTACTGCCCTTGGGTATCTGGATCTTTTTAGTTAAGATGCATGACTCTAGCTGATTTTTATCATCCCATCATCAACAATTAGTCTAGACACTACCGTTACCTGAAGCAGCATGGTTTCCCATAGCACGATGCTAGTGTTCTTTCCTAGAAATAGAAATTAAAAACAGAAAATAGAAATAGAAAATAAAGTCAGGACTCTGTTTCTCCCTTGCCAGGTCCCCACTGAATGCTGAAGCCCCACTTTAAGCTTTACAGAAGATGACTATTTCAGATGAAATTTACTATGTTGCCAACTTCAAGTGCTAATCAGACAGGAAAAAGTCTTCAGTCCATGTTACAAATCTAGGTTTTTTTTTGTTAACTTCAACAGTAACTACTGTAATGAGCATATTTTAATATTCTAACATAAATAGTAATGACTTTTTAGAACAATACCAGAAGGGAGTTTGTCTAAATAGAAGAAAAAGACCAGAGCAAAAGTAAAAGTTTCTGCTAAGAATATTACCCACTGGATCCTCCTGTAGTACAAGTATGTGGTAGAGAATTAGAACATAAGGAATCAAGGAAAAAATATAGCTGTCTACTTTGCACATCAAGTTCATTGTTTTAATCGCCTCAAATGAACCTCAGGCAGAGAAGTGGTGCCTCATTTCTTTATGTTTTTGCCTCTTTCGATAAAGCCCTGATTCCATTCCCTTGTACCTTCCAGAGGCTGCAGGAGCTCAGGAAAGCGTGTTTTCCACAGGTTTACCAACTTGGGGTGAATTATCTCAGGCAGTATCTTCAAAAGTCCTATTGCACTAGCCCCACATAATTTCCCTAAACTGGCAAGCATAGATATTACCTGAAAAATGGAAGATAAAAAGTTAATCAACTGCAGGGGTATTTAAAAGGTCCACCTGCCTTTTCCTTTTATCGCTGTCCTGGATGCCCTTGATTCCTACATTAGACCATCTTTCAAACATCAGTCTATTTCTTACTTATTTTTTTAAAGGTTTTATTTATTTATTTGACAGACAGAGATCACATGTAGGTGGGCGGGGGGGGGGGGACGGCGGGAAGCAGGCTCCCCGCTGAGCAGAGAGCCTGATGCAGGGCTCTATCCCAGATCATGAGTTGAGCCGAAGGCAGAGGCTTTAACCCACTGAGCCACCCAGGCGCCCCCTATTTCTTATTTTAGAGCAAAGCTAATACTTAAACAACCTCCCCCCGCCAATTTGCATCTGAGGATAAAGGGGAAAAAGATATAGAAACCATCAACCAAAAATAAATAGAAGGTACCAACACTTAGATACATTTATTGATCAAATAAAGACACGTGGAAATGGTTATCTGAGCAAATGCTACATATGGGAGGGAAAAGGAAAGAAGGAAATCTAAATAATAAATGTGGAATTTATTTGAATGGTACTTGGAGATCAAATTCAGTCTATGCTTATTTTAAAATAATAAATTAAGTTTAATGAGCATTTCAGAGCGAGAAGATAATCTTGCCAATAATCTTAATGAGTGTCATTAGTGTAGCAGGACATTTATTATGCCATTTTAGTGTTTCTTTTGGTTTGGACTTGCTGTGTAATTTTTATTGAGATTTATTTAGAACTGAATGATCTATATTGGCCTAAATTTATCCCATATTAGTTATTCATAACTCACTCACCAGAAGTCTGGCCAAGAGCTGCTGGGGCGAAGGAAGTTTCACTGGAAAGAGAAAGTGATTTCCATTATTGCTGTGGGGGCTAGAGAATTCAGATTGGGGTTGGGTATATAAGCAAAGCACTGTAGCCATTCTGGAAATGAGCCTTTCGTAAAAGAAGTGTTTTGCTTTGTTTTTGAATGCACACACCAGCTCCGGTGGAGATGACAAGTGCTGTTGACTCCTTGGCATCATTCTTCTTCCTCTCTTCTGCCATAATCAAGCTTCTGATGATATTAAACAGGTAGTCCAGAGTTCCTGTATATTCTGCAGGAACTACAAAAGTCAGGACTCTTGGCCACAGCACCTGGGGAAAGCAAGGCAAGATGCAAAGATTTCGGATTTGTCTATGATTTCTCCCTCTGATGAAGAGCATGTTCTCTCACCTGTTATTTTTTTGCTCTTCAGGCCAAATCAAAATGAAATCTCTGCATTCATGTTCACATTCATGTACACATTCATGTTCAGGTGCTGGTTGTAGTGAGTGTTACTCAGCATGTCTGCATGGGTTTGCTGCTGGAATTTGGGGCAGGACAATTTTTCCTTGTGAAGAAGTGTTCTAGGCAGTGCAGGAAGGAAGTCTCGTACACCTGGGCTCCACTCACCAAGGGTCACCAAGCCCTTTGTCAGTGTGGCAACCCAAAATAAGTCATGTATGTCTCCAAACCCCAAGACTGGAGTGTGTTGCTCAGAGAGAATGACTGGGAATGGATAGTGAATGGGCTGCTCTAGGTGCTGACCTTATTGCTCTGGAGTTCTGGCAACACTTGGTTTCTTTAGTCAGTCTGTTTCATATTCTCTGGAAAACTCCCTTGTCTTCATGGAAACCTTGGGCTCAACATGGACCCTTCCCTTTTTCTTGTCATCCAAATTTAATCCCCAAGCCCTGTCTTTTTTTTTTCATTATAAGATCTTCCATGCTCTTCCATATTTCCTTCCTACTCTCATGACTCTGCTCAGTTCCGGGGAGTTACATCTGATCTCGTGCTCACTCTCTTTGCTTTTAGTCTGCTCCTATGTAAATCCACTGATCTCTCACAGTTATTTTATATTTATATATAGCACTTGCTTAACATTTTGAATGGCTCATCAGTCACAAGGTAGGAATTTGGCATTTCAGGCCCACAGGAGTCTGGTCCTACACTTCTTTTCATCATTTGCTTTTACATGGAAACGTTTCAAACTTTAGTACGCAGCAGATATATTGGGACGTGTTTGCATGCAGATTCATGGGCTCTAAGCACAGAATGCTGATTCAGTAGATGTGGGATATGGCCTGGACATCTGCGTTTTAAATTAATACCTTAGATAATCCAAGAATCACACCTTAAAATGCCATCCTAGATGAAGCCTCTGATCCACTTAAACTGGTCTGTTGCTTGTCTCTTGTCCATGCCATGCATTTCTGGCCATTTAATCCTTTCTCAGGTTATTTTGCTTAAGAAAAATACAGATTCCAAGGCTCCTCCCATTAAGGTATAGATTATTTTCAAGTGTCAGCTGTGGCCCGAGAATGTGTGCTTTCAACACCTTCCCAGATGAATGGGGAAAGTTTAGCATTCACTGAATTAGAATCTCCACTCACCACTTGACAATATGTCTAGGTATGCTAGGGGACTAAGAGGTGCTTTTGAGGAACTACTCGATTCTGGGCACTGAGCATTGCAATGTACTTCATTGCATCAGAGCATCAAAAAGCTGATGACAGCACATGAAGGACAAATTCATGTCTTTACTCCTAAATGGGCAGAGCTTTAGAGAGATGATCAAAGTAACTGTCAGTCGTGACAGAAGACCACTTACCTGGGGCATTCCAATGACCAGTGGGTCTAGGGTTTTTAAGACCTCGAGGCTTGTTTCCCGGACAGATTCCTCTCCCTTTTCAATCTCATGGGATTTAGGTTTCATTGGTTTTTCCTTCAAGAAAGATGAAACAGGTGACCTGTTAATAATCCTTCCTATTGGTTCCTTCTGACCTTACTTGGTTGTGTTCTCAGACTCTGGGGAGGACAATATAGTCACTCAAGGGGCTCATGGAATGCAGCAATTTTGGTCTTCAGTACTTAATTTCTGTTTTAAAGTGCACCTTGGAGGAATTGGTTAGAACAGACACTGCTGGATAAAGCAGAAAAACCAAAATTGTGACGGTTCTCGAACTACGGACATTCCCTCTCTCTCTCAGGCCTTTGCTATTGTCTCAGGCGCAAAATTTTCAAAGACACAGCCTCTTAGTGGAGCGGACTGTGATTTCAGCTATCATGGACTTACTAAGATCCCCCATCTTACATACATGCTTTTTAGGAAGTTAACCCCCATTTGGCAAGTATGGTTGTCTTCTGTTTTCTCTGAAGTAATTCACTTTCTCCACCCCTGTCTCAAGCCTTTGAGGATAGATTGCCTCCTCTGGGAAAAACCATGATTTCACCTACCTCGAATTTATCATAAGCTGTAAGTGATACCAGTGAAAGAGAACTCAGAAGGCTAGAGGCTGAAAAATTTATTGATAAAAGTGATAAGACTGAAATATAACTTCTAAATTAGTCATTGAATTGAGCCCTAGTTAACTGCCCTTGTTACAGGGTAGCTTTCAATGCTGCACCCTCTTCATACCAGGTTCTTTGTGGACATGGCAAACTGGGAGAAGATATAATCAATCAGTGGCCATCCTTCCCGGGCTTCAATGAAGCATTTCTCACACATGGTTTGAATGAGGAGGAGAGTGGAATTCCTCACCTAGAATCAAAAAAATGCATTTGCAGCATTTTACTGCATTGGGCAGAACAATAATTTAGCTTCTCCTATTCTTTAACCTTCATGGATCATTTGTGAGAACCTTCCCAAAAAGGAGTATCCGTTGAATGGTGGGACTCTACATAGATGGAGCAGGAAGCCAGCTATAGCTTATGATTTAAGGATTACAGGAATTTCCTTCTTTAAGCAGAAATTATTCTCCTTTGCTCCCAAGACATATGTTCTGTTACGGTACATTATGAAAGGTTGGTATTATGGATTAAAACACTGTCTTGCTTTTAAAATTCTCAGTGAACAATAGCGCAATGAACTGCACATCTATAATCCTTTATCTACAATTTCAAAACCCAAAAAACTCTGGATGCTGGTGTTTTGTTTCTTGAGTCTGGCCCTAACTCATTAGGTGGCAAAACCCAACTCAACTATTTTAAAACTGTTTGTAGTCTTTACTTAATCTATGTAGTGTAGATCTGCACGTATTTTCTTGCAGAGATATTAATGAGTTTGATTGTGGCTACAGTCACAGTAATGTCTTTCTAAAATCAGGAAGGTTGTGAATTCTGAAATATATCTGGCCCCAGGGTTTAGAACAAGGGATTATGAACCTGTACTATAATTTTTAAATAATTAAGTTTGTTTATTGGATTGCTTCCCTGGAGGATAGAAAACTCAGATCTAATAAGTGACTCCTTTTTTTTTTTAAAGATTTTATTTATTTATTTGACAGACAGAGATCACAAGCAGGCAGAAAGGCAGGTGGGGGTGGGGTGGGGGTGGGAAGCAGGCTCCTTGTTGAGCAGAGAGCCTGTTGCGGGGCTCAGTCCCAGGACCCTGAGATCATGACCTGAGCCAAAGGCAGAGCCTAACCCACTGAGCCACCCAGGTGCCCCTCAGATCTAATTCTTTACTGAATGGGTCTTATAATGGAGAGTTGGAAAAAAAGAATAATTTTGAATAGGGAGGTAGGGCCACAAGGTAGTAAATAGCATAAATACACCAGTAGTCTACCTAAATGAGGGGGAAAAAAAGTTATAATTCTCTATTTTTGCCTGGGGAGTTAGACTTCCTTAAAGTTTCTGTCCCTTTTCATTTTACCCTAAACTCTTAGTCATTTTTTGATTGGCTAGGCCACTTCCTGGGCTGAGCTTTTATCTATAATTACATCATTATTTAAAAAATTTTTAATTTAAAAAATTTATTATGTCTTATATATTTATTTTTGTTTTAATTTTTAATTTAAATTCTAGTTAGTTAACATATAGTATAATATTAGTTTCAGGAGTAGAATTTAATGATTCATCACTTACATATAATGCCTCGTGCCCTTCTTAATGACCATCACCTATTTAACCCATCCCCCACCCACCTGTCCGCCAGCAACCCTCAGTTTGTTCTCTATCCTTAAGAGTCTGTTTTATGGTTTGCTTCTCTCTCTCTCTCTCTCTCTCTTTACTTTCCCCTGTGTTCACCTGTTTTGTTTCTCAAATTCCACATATGAGTGAAATCATATATTTGTCTTTCTCTGGCTGATTTATTCCACTTAGCATAATTATTGTTATTTATTGCTTAACTTTTGTTATAGTCATTACAGATAAAAGTTTCGTAGGGGAATTTTCTTCTTTTCATTGGTTTCTGTATAGGGCTTTGATCCAAACAAAATATGATTTTAATAAAAAAAGATGCAGTAATTTCTATTTTTTTGTTCATTCTAGTACAAGTTATATATCTTTTCTAATATGGACTTTAATCAAATAATCAGGAAATATAGTGCAATATATGTGCAAGATTTGCTCTAGACTTCCCTAGTTGGAAAATAAGATATCTAAGCTAAAACAAAAACAAAAACAAAACAGACTTAGGGGTTATTATTTTTTGTAGGAAGGTACGTTATTTTTATAATTAGCAATTTTTAAACTATTTGAAGAGAGTAGCAGTGTAATGCTCTGGGCAAAAATCTTTTTTTCTACTGAGAAGCCCTTGAACTGAATGTACTTTAGAACTTTACCTTGATATAGCTTATCTTTTGGGGAAAGATTGATTTCTATTAAAATTAGAATTCATCCCTGAGCTCTTTATAAAGCAATCTTAAAGTAGATTCTTTTTTTTTTTAAATTTTTCATTAACATATAATGTATTATTTGTTTCAGGGGTACAGGCCTGTCATCATTAAAGTAGACTCTTAAAGAATCAAAATCATTTCATTAATTCCTAAAACTACCATCAACAAAATCAAAGTCCCCATTATTTCTCTTACTTTTATATTGAGGTCACCCATGACAACTTTGACTGTTCTTTCAATTGAAGTGATGTGATCCCGCAACTTGGGCTCTGAAGGACAGGGAGAGAAATTAAGAGGCCAAGTTCAGTAGGAGTACAGTCTGTTCTAGGATTGATGAAAACCCATTAGAGTTATGGCACATAATTGCAAAATCTTTTGTCCAAAACATTTCATGCTATTCAATTTCCTCTTACCCTCTTCTCCATTTTTTGAAAGACTTTATTAATTTATTTGAGAGAGAGTGTGAGAGAGAGCATGAGCAGGGGGGCCGGTGCAGAAGAGGAGGGAGAAGCAGACTCCCCACTGAGTAGGGACCCCCCAAAATGGTGCTTGATCCAAGGACCCTGGGATCATGACCTGAGCTGAAGGCAGACCTTAACCCACTGAGCCACTCAGACACCTCTCTTCTTTTTCAATTTTTGGAAGATATTTATTGCTCTCTTTGCTCCATATTATATTAGGTTTCATCTTGTTTAAAATGTTAGGTTCAAAAGTGGACTCAACACATCACGCCCATGGATTAGTTTTAAATTTTGTGGGACTACTTCATATTTCTTGTCTGCTGATTCTTCAGTAAATCTCAGGGATAACTGAATTTTTTTAATTTTTTTGAACTATTATAATATAGGATAAAAATGAATTCTCATATTTTATTGAATCCAAGATACCATCAATCTTATGAGATACCACTATTTTATATTGTACCAAAAAAAGCTAATAGTGGCTGATTATAATTAAAGATGCTATCAATTATGAGATGCATTCCAATATCATGAAAATATGTCCTTCTTGGAATTAATGAAATATGCTATTTCATTAAATTCTGCTGTTTTCTCAATGCACTAATCTCTAGAATATTGTGCATTCCTCCCACCTACCTCCTATTTATTGGGCTACTTGGCCAGCCTACTAGATCTTCTAAATTCTAAATTTGATTTTCAAAAATTCTACTTCTTCTCACCTACATATATCCATAAGTATCATGAAAGAAGAGGTAACTGAAAAGAAGAGAGGAAACTGAAAATGTAGTAGATTATAGGGGCACCGAGTGCCTCAGTCAGTTAAGCATCTCCCTTCAGCTCAAGTCAAGAGCTCAGAGTCTTGGGATCGAGTTCCTCATCAGGCTCCCTGCTCAGTGGGGAGTCTGCTTCTCCCTCTCCCTCTGCCTCCCCCATGCTTTCACACCCTCTTTTTCTCTCCCTCTCAAATAAAATAAAATCTTAAAGTAGCAGATTGTAGATGACCAAAAAGACAGAGCTTTACTTGAATATGATCTTCTACAAACACCCCAAAGACATAGATAAAGTTAGTGAATGCAAAGGCTTCAGTTTGCTTCTTGGGACAAAATAAACCACTCTGGCTTCATTTCTTTGCTTACCCTCAGCATTGATAGCCGATCTTAGCAAAGTCAAAATTCCCATTCGAGTGGTTTCATTATTACTCCTCATTTCTTCATCAAAAAATTCCATCAGGTCTGCAGGGTTGGAATGGGCTGCAGGTTTAAGAAATACTGGAGTCATAAGAACTCATTTTCATCTTTGATAAAACACTTGTGAATGGGAAAAGCAGAATTCCATGGAGATTTTCAAAGTCACTCTTTGGTTGGTAACTAGATTTTATTACATCACTGCATCTTTAGTATCACAAAATTAAGCAGTTTGGTCACTCAGAGAGATTTATATACCTAGGTCCACATCTGTTCATATGTATAAATATGACTTTATTTGGAAGTTAGTTTTTTTTTTAAACATATGGAATCAAATTAAGATGAGGTTATTAGGGTGGGCCCTAATTTAGTATGAGATGAGAAAAGGAGAGGAGACACAGGGAGGACAACTTGTGAACATGGAGGCGGAGACTGGAGTGATGCTTCACCAGCTGGGAAGCTGGGGAGCTACAAGGTAAGGCAGGAAGCAGGGAAGAAAGAGAAAAGGCCTGATTGGAGGAAAGTTGTTTGGTTTTGAACTATTAGAGGTTGAGTGAAGCAGGTAATAGGTTGGGCATAGAACAGAGGATAGAATAGAAACAGGAAAAACTAGAACATAATAGGGAATAACTAGAACATAATAGAAAGGTAATGCAGTGAAGTAGTAGAAATGACATATTTTGGGGAGGGTGGAGGTAGAGGTATGGGAGGCATGGGATTGCTCTGGTCCTTACTTTTCAGGGTCTATGTTGGAACATAATTTGTATGCTGACTCCGAGAACTTAGTGCCTCCTCTATGACCTGCACCAGGTATTTTAACCAGACAGTGGGTGGGATGGTGATGTGAGAACAAGAAGGAAGGGGAAAGAGTGAAGAAGAGAGTGAGAGGGAGACAAGGAATAGATATTAAGAGATGATGAGGGAGAAATGGCGTGACTTTGGGTTTGACACAGTTTGAAATAGGCTCAAATACCAAGGAAAAAAGCATTTCCTATCCCTAGGATTGCCAACTCACAAATCCCTAGGATTTTGCCCAGAAATAAATTCATGCATATGTAGTCCGTTAATTTTTGACAAAGGAGTAAAAAATACATAACAGTGCAAGGATAGTCTCTTCAATAAATGATGCTGGGAAATGGACAGCCACATGCAAAGGAGTGAAACTAGATCCCTACCTTATACCATATACAAAAAACAAATCAAAATAAAGACATGAGAGTAAGACCTGAAACCATAAAACTCTTGTAAGAAAACATAGGTGGTGAGCTCCTTGACATCGGTCTTGGCAATGACTTTTTGGATTTGACACTAAAAGCAGAAGCACCAAAGACAAAAATAAACAAGCAAGACTATATCAAACCAAAAATCTTCTGCTCGGCAGAAAAAAACCCACAAAAACCATTAACAAAATGAAAAAGCAACATATGGGATGGGGGAAATATTTACCAACCATGTATTTGATAAAGGGGTTAATTCTCAAAATGTGTATGGAAATTTTCTGATTTTAGAACTGCACGTTCTATCCCTGGAAGTCCATTAGTTCCAGGCAAACCAGGGTGATTGGTTACCTATCTGTTGTGCTTCTCTTGGGACTGGGAGGATAGGGAGAGGCACACAATACCATGAGTTGAAGGAATTGTGTGTGTGTGTGTGTCTGTGTGTCTGTGTGTGTGTAATAACTAATGCGACAGTTTGCACATCCTTCATCACTGTTGTCATCATCACTGCGAGACATTTTTATTAAAAACCCTCTGGTTGTTAGGTCCTACCTAGAATGAGGAAACAGCTTGAAGCTTCAATTTCATTTTCCTTCGTAGGAGGCTCTGGAGCTCTGCACACCTGAGTGAGAAAGAAGAATCAGGCGGCAGATGTTAAAAACAGAAAACCAGAGGAAATGAAGCAATCAGATCTGACAGCAGGGTTTTCTTACCTGGTGGAGCAAACTGATAAAGATGGTCTTTCTCAAGCCCTTTGGAAGGGCAGTGTCATAAAGGACCACCGCGGTCAGTATTTGTTTTAGACTCTAGAATGGAAGCTCTCAAAGGTTAGTTGGAGGCTGCCCATGAAGCAGCAGCACAAGATGTGGAAGACAAATAATTACGTTTTTTGTGAGGAGAACAAACCCATAACCTTCCTGCAGTCACAAGTTTTCTTTAGTGATTCTGAACTCCCTGCGTTAGTCAGTGCCTCAGCAACTTGAAAAGAAAATTCTTAATCCCTTTTTTGGATATTCCATCATCCAGCTATGCCCACCTCTTCTCTACCTCATGTTTCTCAAAAAGTATTTAAGTTCAACTGCCCAAACCGGTATCTCAGTTCTTAGGACCTCTGGAGACTTACTGTCTTCCAGGATGGTTGTGGATAGACTCTCTGAATAGGTTCCTTGAGGGTGTGGCTCTTACCTGAGTGACGTGGAAATCAATCTCTTTGTCTTTATACTGGTTCAGGAGCCAGGGTACCTGGTCAAGGGCATAGTCACAGAGGTCTTCCCGATGAAGCAACAGGCTCACTGTGGGGCCATGCGCCTTAACGATGGCCAAAGTCTGCAGAGGCAGCCAACGAATACCACGTCTAAGACTTCACTGAGCTTTTTGTACAGTTCTCAGAATACCTGGAGCTTTAGACAGTCCCACACAACTTTCCTCACTGCTTACAAGCAAGAAAGAATTATTTAAAAAATGTTTAGGTTAAGATCATTGCATGAAGCAGTTACAGTTATGTTTGTATTTTTAGCTCTGTCTACATCTATATCTCTACTGAAACTCATTTCCATATTTGTCCCCTTCCTATTTCTTTAACCTTTCTCCACTAGTCACTTTCTTTCAATATACTAGTAAGTTGAAAATTTCCCTTATATTAAAAAATTCTTCAATTCCAAATTACTCTGACCCTAATTCTGTTTCTTTCTTTTCTCCAAAAAATTATGTGATTAATCACTAAATTCTACCTATGAAATCAATATTACACTATATGTTAACTAACTTGAATTTAAATAAAAACTTGAAACAAACAAAAAGCAAAGTTTTCTGAAAGAGAGGTCTACGTTTGCCATCTCTACTTCCCACCTCTCATTTACTCTTCAGTCCACTCTGGCTTCTGCTGATATAAAAAACAAATAAGTGTAAAATATAAATGTAAATAGGTTGACTGGAAAAATTTAGAAAGCACAAAAGTTATGAAGAAGGAAACACAGTATTCACATTGCTGACAGTATCCATAGATAATCACTCTTTGGTGTACTTTAATTTTTTTTTATTAATTTGACTTATTCTTCCCTACGTTTCCTCTATACACTTTAATTTTTAAAAAACTGACACCATTCTTTAATATATAGTTCTATATTCTGCTTTTCTACCTAATATTAGGTGATGATTTTTTTTCTGTCAACTAAGTTTTGTTGTCTAGCAAACCATCTCAAAACTTAGTGGCTCAGAATAACAGCCATTTATTTCACTCAACCGTGTGTCAGCTGGATGTTTCTTCTGAGCAGTTGGACATTTCCAAGCAATGGATGCCTTTCAGGATTATTCTTGCTTGAGCACCGTAACAATAGACTTCATACATCTCCTTTTGCTTCTTGAAAGTTATTCCTTTCTTAGTTTCTAAGATCTCATTCTCCTTGCTTAGAACCCTCCAAAGGTTTCTTATTTCTTATTAAAAAAAAAAAAAGTCCAAACTCCTGTGTAGCATTCAAGACTCATCATATGTGACTAAGACCAAAATCTTTCCTGGTTTTATTTGTTTCTGCTTCTTTATATCTCCCTTCTCTTCTCCCCTTCCCTCTCTTCTACTGGACTCACTCAAGTGTGCATGTTATCCTGTCCCCAGCCTCTGCTTCAGCAACTTTTATGGCCTCTTTAGAGAATGCCTTTTGCTTGGGTGAACGTCTTTATAGGCTGCGAGCTCAGTTTCAATGTCACGGCCTTTGCAGTACTCGCCACAGGATTTAAGTGCTTCTCTCTCTCTCTGTTCCCTCATTACTGTGTGCACCTTCTTGTCATTTGTCTAACTCTTTCTGTGGGAAGCTAGGAAAGTACTTGGCGAATTTGTATTGAATTGTATTTTTCAGGTGCCTTAAAGAAAAGACTTCTACAGGATATTTTAAAAGTTCCAAGTTTGCTAATGATTTAACTACTTCAGCATGTTAAAAAAAATGCTTTGGTAGCTTAAAGTATAGAAAAGAAACTGAGCTAGAGAAGACAAGTGCTACATCTTTAAAAAATATAGGAATAAAAGACCTAAATAGGATGTAATTTACTCTCCATTTAAAAATTATACTGATTAAGCAAGATAGGCATGGGATTCCATGTGCACGCCCTTTGTAATCTCTTTTGCACAATTTTTGAAATAGTCATGCACATCCTTTAGATATTTCATTCATAGACATGGGAAATTTTTGTTGGCTGTTGTTTTTCCTAAAGAGTGACTCAGCCCAAATATGGGTTATAAGACATGAAATACTGAATTTCTCTGTATTTTACTCATCTCCAGTTAGTCATTGTTCTTTCCACACACTGGAATGTCAGTTCCACAAGAGTGGGGATTTTGGTCTGTTCAATCCCTGCTGTCTCCCCAGCATGGGGGAACAGTGCCTGGCATGGCATGGGGACTCAATAAATATTAGCTCAAGAATGAATAAATAGTGATTTGAAACAGGAAAAACAAAAGTGTTGATAAACCTCAAAAAACCACAACTCATAGCTTTCCAAACAACTGAGATTAATGATCATGTCAGAAAGGGGAGGAAGTTCAAGCAGCACAGAAGGAGAGCTCTCTTGGGGCATGCTGAGGCCCCCACTCACTTGCATGGGCGAGGTAATGGGGGCCCACTTCTCCATTATATACCGGAACAGCATGAAGATCTTGTCAGATAGTCGGTTGGCATCCAATCTTGGATAGGGAAAGTCTCTCCAGTGGTTGACATATTTGTAAATGGCCTTGCTGAACTTCTCAAGGGCTGCATTTTAAAAACAACCACAGACTGAGAAAAATATAAAGATGGGAGGGTCCATAAAATAGTTTGAGAAGAGTGTACTGATAATTAACAAATGTGTGATAGTTTCTATAAAATGTTATATGACTGTACCAAATAAATATATAAAAAGTATTCAGCCACATTAGTGAAATGTAAGCTAAAACCATAATGAGATAATACAACAAACCATCTAGAATTCCTAAAATTTCAGACAATGTCAATGTTGGTAAGACTAAGGTGCAGCTGGTGTTTTCACGTATGGCTGGGGGGAGTGTGAATTGATATAAACACTTTAGAAAACATTGAATATATATTCCTTATGACCAAGAAATTCCACTCCTAAGTATGCAGTTGGTTAGATACACAAACATATAGGCACTAAAAAACTTGTACTAGAATGTTCATATTCACTTTGTGGGGTGGGTCATAGTCTCAAACAGAAAACAGAAAAATGTCTGTCAGCAAGTAGAATGGACAAACTGTACTATAGGCATGTAATAGTATACAGAAGTGAACACAGACAACTTTACACAACAATATGAATGAATTTCACAATAGGTGAAACTAAGCTATGGTGTTAGAAGTCAGGCTTGTGGTTACTCTTGGACAGGATAGAGATCATGATGATTGGCAGGAAAGATGAGGTGGGCTTCTGGGTTATTAGTAATGTCCCACTTTCTGACCTGAGTGGTGATCATAGGAGTAAGTTCATTTTGTGACCACTCATCAACATGTACACTTCTGATTGGTATGTTTTTCCATAGGTCTGTTTCACTTCAATAAAATAAAAAAATGTTAGGCTTGCAAAAATATCATTTGGACCACAAACCCATATATATTTGCATCAAATGTATTAAATAATATTATTTGTTCCTTCAGCTCTCTTGTTTCACTAGATGATGAAGAAAAGTCATAGTTTACTCCTCAATGATACTTCACATGCAAAGAATACTCTGGAAAGACCCCGAGTACCTTAGAGCTGGCCATGTATTGACTCATTCACATTCTTTCAAACTGATAATCTCCTGCTATACATTGTCATAATCTTGTGTGTGTGTGTGTGTGTGTGTGTGTGTGTGTGCTCGTCTTGTACTGGCCAAAATCAACATGAGGGAAAGGATGTCTCATCTCTTGACAGTATCTGAAACAATGAGCACAATGTCTGCTTATTGCCTGATTAAATGAATAGCTAGATAGACGGATGGATGACTATGAAATTTTATACCTATTCTTTAGTGGCAGTCAGGCAAAAGTTGTTTTAAGACCAAAGGGCACTAGATAACTTTATAACACAAAGGCAGAGAATCCCTTTTTCATTGCTGTGATGATTTCTAATTTTATTTCCTTTTCCCTGTTGGGTTGTTGATATTGCAGGTAGAAATGCTATTACAAGCACCAAAGTTTATTTGCAAGAACACAGTGTTAGCTGTGATAGTAAGTAGGAAAAATAAAAGGTATTGAAAAGTGAGCTAATCTAGTGTAATTGCTCAAGTTCTTGAGCCAGACTGTCATAGTTCAAATCCTGGCTCTGCCATGCACCAGCTGTATGACTGCAGGCAAGCTCTCAAATTTCTATGCCTCAATTTTCTCATCTGTAAAACGAAGGAAAAATGTTACTTACCTAATGGGGTTGCTGTGAGGTTAAAGGAAATAATAATCTTAAAATACCCAAGGCAGTATTCAGGCACATAGTACATTCTCAGGATATACCAGATACAAATATTGCTTCCATAGAGGGCAGAAAAGAAGAAATGACCAAAACAGAACAGACAAGTCTTGGTTGAGAGGTAAAGATGACATTCCTGACAGCACAGGCTTTAAAATATTACAAAATCATAGTGTTGGGGGTTTTAGAGGGGAGAGGGATCCTAGCAATCCCTTTATTTAATATGTTTAGAGGTGAAAATGAGATTGAGAGAGGATGGTTCAGAGGCTGACCAAGGAGAGGAGCCCAGGTCTCCAGACTGAACCAAGAAGCCTCTCACTGGGCTGTACATGTTTTTTGTTTTTTTTTTTTTTTCCTGCAAATTCCAGGGCCATTTTCTTTTCTGCAGACTCTTCATTACTCTGGATGTATTTCAGTTTTGGGGTAGAGGGAATTTGTGACCCATGGTTTGCTTACCTATTTTCCTTAATTTTATGAGTGCTTGTACTTTGATTAGATTGATTACTTATCTTTATTACAACATTGCATTATACAGCGATGCCAACATTTAGCCTACTGCTAAGAACTGGTGAGCTCCCAGAACCATTGTGGGGAACGTGTGATCCAGTTAAAGAAGGAGGCTAGTAGAAATGGAGGCTATTTAAGGCAGTGGAAAGTGTATAGATCTCAGTCACATAGACTTGACCGCCACCTCTCCATTTCACTGACTGTCCCCACTTTAAGGAAATTGCTTAATTTCCACGACTCTCTGTTTCTCATCTGTAAAATGATGGGGGGAGGGGGGGATAGTACTTACCTTGCTTTGAGGATTGAGACAGAGAGAATTATAATTGCTTTGAGGACTGAGAGAGACAAGTCCCTGCAGAGAAACTTCCATGTGGTAGGCACTCAGTAAATGGTAGCTATTATTATTAGCGAATAGAACAAAACTAGAGTAAAAGGAAAAATAAAACATTTGCTCAATTCATAGTCTGGTCATAACAAAGAGGAAACCATAGGAATACCCACCAGTACAGAAAACTCCCTTCATCCTCTCTTCTTCGGCCAGCCTGAGCATGGTTTGCATGGTTAGCAGGGTCATCATCATGAAGGGGATGCTCTGGGACACTGCCAAGAGGGGCACAAGAGGAGAAGATCATTATCCTCTCACACTGGAGAGTTCTGCGGTTCTCCACGTCAGCAAGGAGCATGTCAAAGCTGTGTCGGGGAGACAGATGAGGTGCTGCAGGAAGATATTCCCCTCGACCCTTTCTTTGGACGTAAGGCCTGGCCGTAGTTAGAAATCAAGGAGTGGGTGATTTAAAAGAAGGTTCTAGCTGTACCTGTTTGTAGCAATTGCCTGTTTGGATAATTGTTGGATTAATGTCCACCTCTCCCACCAGAACTTGGCTGCATTCCCAGGGCCTAGCCCAGGTAATAGATACTCAATAAAAATAACTAACTAAATACATACATACATAAATAAAAATCTGTTAAATAAAGTGGTATAGAAAAATAATCCTAATAAACTCTTACATACTTCATGTGAGTGTTCAGGGGTTTGCAGAAGAGGCCTTGTGGAAAAAGGGCTTTTGCAAGCACAAAGCCAGCTCAAAGGGACGGTGAGGGTGGGAGGGTCCAGCCAAATACAGAGCAGCATGGACTGATGCATCAACAGGCTCGTCTGTGCTCAGAAACAACCAACTAAATCCCACCGTCGATGCTCTTGAGTATGGCAGAAGGGAAGAATGCTCTCCCTTCTGCTGTTGGCACCCATCTGGTCTTAGACAGTTAGTCAGGGTGGATACTTCCCAGGAAAATGTGGAGAGTCTTCCCTCCATACCGTAGCTGGTCGCCAGTTCAGCCAGAGCAAGCACGATGAATTCGTCCGGTAGCTCCAGGATCCTGAAGTTACTCTGCACTTCATACATCACAGAGTTGAAATCATGCGCAGCAAGAGACACCAACACCTCACCAGCCAGCATTCTGGTTTCTCTGAGGATCTGAGGAGGAAAAAGGAGACAACAATCACAACTGGAGGAAGAGCAGAGGCAGTTTGCGGAGAGGTGATGGTCTAGATAATATTCTAAGCTTTGGGACAGGGACCGAACAGGCTATCCCAAACCCAGGGGGCGAAGTCTCTAGGGTGAGGGTCGGTAGCTGGCTAGCAGAGGTAACTTTAGTGAACTTTAAAACCAGGTTTTACTAAGGTTCTTGTAAACGTGAGGTCAAAATACATTTTCTTGCAAATTGATCGGGCACTATGAACACAGGATCTATGTTTTATGTGTTAATGACGAATCGCTGAGGCTGGAGGCCTGAAGGGTATGGTGAAAGGGAAATGGGACGGTGGGGTGGACTTCGGGTTTTCATATTGTCCTGATCCAGTTATCTCAGATAGTGGAGCTATTTGGAGTTCTGCTTTTGGGAATGCTGAACTAGGTAAATTTGATCGATTCTCCTGCTGAAGACGATAAAAAGAGCTTGACAAGCTGTTAGAAAATGTACTCACAAAACATCACAATATAGAGTGGAATGAATTACTAAGTTAAGATCTAGAAAAGATTGGAAATCCATAGAAGTAAGTCTTATATTTGAGGCTCCAGTGTAGTATTTTGGAAGAATAGACTGAATTTGAGACCAACAAATGGTGAGACTCTGGTCATCCCACTTCTTATCTTTTAGCCTAAGGCTCCAAAAGGCTGCATTTAAATGAAAGGTTTGCTTGGCCCTCCGTGTACTGTAGTCCAACTTGGAATCGCAGAAGTGCCCCCCTCCTCCAAATCTCAAGGCCTGAAATTAATCATAGATTGTTAGTACCCTTGGCAGCTAAACATCCTTTCTGGAAGAAAACACCTTAAAACTCAACTTATGTCTACAAATAATTTTTCTGGTACAATTCCTAGCATAGAAAGCTAAGTAGGCACATGAGAGATGATAATTTATATATGGAAAGTGAGAAAACTGGGTTCTAGTTACTTTGAAAAAAATCTCTCCAAACATCAACATGCTCATCTAAGACTGGAATGGATAATATTATCTCTAAAGATTTTTTTTTTAACTTTGTCACAGTTTCCTTATCTGTGAAGGGATAAATAATAAGTGTTGTAATAGTATCCAAGTTATCATGAAGAAACGAATGAAAGTGATTTGTAATTCAGGCAATAACGTGGGAAAAGCTTGTAAATGTCTACACGGGTGCATCTGGGTCTCTTAAAGACCAGTTGCGACCCTGGTATTGATTTATCATTAAGAATCAAACTTACATTGTTGTCTCTCATGTCCTTAGAAGCATAATAAATCAACCGTTGGACGATTGCATCATCCAAGATGTCACTATTCTGAATAACGGAAGTGAGATGACTATAAATGTCTTCCTGTGAACATACAAGTGTATACACAGAATCTGAGTTGCAAAACTAAAGGAATCATACGAAATACATGATTAACACCATCAAAGTGAGCAATGTGTTTCTACTTCACAATGGATTTTATACATCTTTTTAAAATTTAAATTCAGTCAGCCAACTAACATACCATCATTCATTTCATATGTAGCGTCCAATCATTTATCAGTTTTGTATAACACCCGGTGCTCATCACAGCATGTGCTCTCCTGATTGGGGGATTTTTTTTTTTTTTTTGGATTTTTACTACATCTTTTTTTTTTTTAAATTTTATTTTTTAGAAACATATAATATATTTTTTTCCCCAGGGGTACAGGTCTGTGAATCTCCAGGTTTACACACTTCACAGCACTCACCATAGCACATCTGATTGGGGGATTTTAATGCATCTTAATCAGGGCTTCCTGAACACAATATGCAGCTTTAGGACACAAAAGCTTACAAAGTTCTTTCTGAAAACTATTTTAACCTGACTGCATTACTATGACAAAATCTAACTGAAGTCGAAAGCAGGCTACCTAACGTATCAGTCTTGAAAGTCGCTGTAGTAGGGCACTCAGGGGAATGGAAATGCTCATTACCCAGACCGCTGCTCCTACCACTGGGAAGTGACTATGTTATTAACACACTGTGATTTCCAAAGAGGCTGATAAGCTGTGAAACTGGATCCTAAGGGAGGCTTCTAAGTCCTTGGCTGCTTCATGCCTTGTAGAAAGAAACTTGTGAATTCTTTTGGACAGGACCGCGTGTCGGAATCATGGCGCTGGACCAGATGTTGTGTGAGAGGACTCTTGGCAATCTCTTAGGTGGCTACATGGTCTCGGGTAGATGAGAGACTGTGGTCCTGGAATGCCCAACAGCCTCAAGCATGTTGCCTTCAAGATACCATGCCCATGCTGAAGATGGGACGTAACTCCCTTTGCATAAGGGGTTCTAACAGGCAGTCAGGGTTGAGGTCCACCAGATTAGGAGATGAAGGTGTAGAACCTGTCCTTCACAGGGAGGCTGCCTTGGATCATGATTGGGAGCATTGTTTTGAAGTCAGACAGCCTTGTGTTCTGGTCATGTACCTGTTGTGGGTCTTACTTCTCTTCACTGTGAAATGGAAACACCCATGCCTACCTCGTAAAGGTGCGAGGGGTGAACATAATACAAGTCACTGTGTTTGGAAAGCTTCTCGGGGGCTGCTTCCTAGATAAGTGTCCCTTGGAGGTAGCTGTTGTTATTTTACAAAAGGTTGTTGGGGCCAGAAAAGCCTTCACATCCCAGAGAAATAAATCTCTAATCGTGGATTAGCATCACAGATGAGTAGTGGAGATCTCTGGGGCTTGTCATAGGAACCCTCAGCTTCTACAGGAGGAGACTCTTATGGTTATAAGTGTGGCCTCCCCGTCTTTCCATATCTTTCCGTATCAGGTTATATAAAGGAGTATTCTTGAGCTAACTTCCAGAATTGGATACTATGATTCCTCAAATGCCAAATATCATTGTTTAAACATGACAATGACTTCCATTATAACTACTTTTGAAAGATTGAATGCTGGTATGAAGCCAGAGAGAAAAGAAGTCAAGGCAAAGAAAGAGGTATATGAAATGTTGCAATAATTGCACTAGGAAAAGTAAATGGAGAACAGATTTTTCCTCTATTTTCCTTACCTTGCTAATATTATCTTCCATGTTCAGCATGCCTAGAGTGAGGTTAATATCTCCAAAAGTCTCTAAAATGTACAAAAAAAGAAGAATTAAGCCTCACCTATAATTCCTATGCAAGAGTTACAGAAATTTTTTTTCTCTTGCTTCTCTGCTTCTCTTTTGTCCCAGACCCTCCTTCTTCTTGACTGTCAGCTCTCTGATGACAGGAGCTAAGTTTTATTCATATTTTATATGCTTGACATACTTGCAAATAACAGATACTTAGTATTTTTTTTTTTTCAAAACCTGAATTAAAGGGGAAGGAGAAGATAAAGGATACTACATCCTGGTGCACCTGGGTAGCTTAGTCAGTAAGGCATTTGCCTTCGGGTCAGGTCATGATCCCAGGGTCCTGAGATGGAGCCCCACATTGGGCTCCCTGTTCAGCAGAGAGTCTGCTTCTCTCTCTCCCCCTGGCCCCCAACCCTCACTTGTGCTCTTTCTCTCTCTCAAACAAATAAATAAATCTTAAAAAAAAAAGATGTTACGTTCCTATTTATCCCTCCTGTCATGTAGGTATCACCCTATATATCCTCTCTACCAAGGTGCAGCTCTCAGATGTCATGAGTTGAAACCCTTCCACCCTACCTGAGCATGAGAAGACAATGGTGTAATATAGCTGTTTACTTTCATTTCCTCCTCAGCACCTCCTCTGTGTACTTTGCCACAGTCTGTCTACCTCTGTTTCTCTCCATCTAACCTTCTGGCTTTGCCAGATCCCTCTTCTGGTCCCAAAGCTAATGGAACCTTCTGTTTTCTGATAATGATCTAAATTAGTTTGACTTGCACTTTCCAGGCATATTTGTATTTGAATAACTCTCATCAGAAAACTGAAAAAAAAAAACATGTGAGTCAAAGGAATTGAGCAATTCAGGCCACATGGCAAATTGGTAAGAGAGAAACCCTTGGAGGTGAGTCTCCAAATCAAGCCACAGATCCCTTTAGCAAGGTCTTTTTTGGCAAAGCAGATAGGCAACCATGCTTGAAAATTAGGGGAAAATATTTCCAAAGGACCATTCCAATATTTAAAAGTAAATAAAAGACTGTCTTTCTTTGTGTTGTAGGTACTTTCTCTTCAGGTAGACAATATATTTTTAAAGAAAGTAAGGCACCACCATCTCTCAGGCTCCTAGTCTATCACTGCCCCTTTACAATCAATACGATTTATTATTTTGGAATAAAAGGGGAGTAGAGAGAAATAATCTTACTTTAGCATAACTTTTTATAACACTTTAAGTTGTACAGACCCTCCACCATGACTCACACCATCCCCCATCCCACATAAACATGTGATCGCATAGACACAAAACACTTAGCTCCTTAGGTTCCCGTGATGCTCACCTACAGTTTCCTCCATGTCTTGAGTCATGTCTTCGCTGTTTCAGGCTCTCTAAGAGACAGCACCTAAGTATCAGAAATAGTATGGCTAAAAAATTGAACAAGCAAGTTGACAAGTTTCTCACAAAATGTTCACATAAGGCTCTCTAAAGGAAAGTCCCTCCTCCACTTGATTGGCACAACGATCTGGAAGCTTCCAGCGATGGGCTGTTACTGAGAAGGATGACGCTGTATTCTACCACTATGACATTTTCTTGCTTCTGAGCTCCTGCTGACCAACAAAATGGCTGCATCTCACCGAATATTGTCCCTTGGGTGGAGACCAGAGTATCTGAGAAGGAAGAAATTAGAGACTGGGACTCAAAGCATTTTTGTAGACCAAAGGAGTTCCTCTCCCTAAACTTGGGTCCATTGATCACAAATTTGGGAATGGTTTTCAGTGGTCACTTTACTGGCCTGGTGTTGGTAAAGCCTTTATGGTGATCTTGTTGATTGTTCTACTTGGTGAAAGTCAGTCACACAAATTGGGCATGCTCAGTGGACCGGAATGCCCACCAGGGGCAGTTGAATAGAATGTCCAACTGACAGCAGCAAAGCAAAAGCCTTCTCTGCCACCCCTTCCTGTTCCCCACTTTCCCTCCACCATTCACTCGGTCCGGGTCTTGGCCTCACTCCAGGCTCAGACTTTTTTCTTTGATTCCATTCTCTCTTCTTGTTTTCAAATCATTTTCTATCCACACCTCTTTGACATAATGTTTTCAGCTTAACTAGTATGGACCTAAATCTGGTCCCAATGCCCCCAACTCTAAATCTATATGACCACAATTTTCAATGTATGCCCAGACTGACTGGATCTTAATCTGGCAGGTGTTATGGAAGGGAGTGCTAGGAGTCTATAGGTGTAGGAGTGAAAGGGGCCAAGGGAAGGGGCTCGTGACAATTCTCATCTGTGACTCCTTCTCCAGTTATCTTCCCTTCCTTTGGTGAAGCTTATTTCAGATTCATAGGTCAAATACTTCCAACTAAATCTTTGAATTCATCATTGTTTTTACAGACAGATTATTTTGCATTGTATTTATTATAGAGGACCTCAGCAGGCTGATGGTTAAGAACATTCTCTAGTCAGCATTACTATTTTCCAGATTGTATCCATTAGTGCCTGGTGACAGGAATCACCTGGTGTCTTTATTTAAAATGTCCACTCCCAGGTCCACCTCAGGCCTAGTAAATTAGAATGAGGGGCAGAAATCTGTATTTTTAATGAGCACCCTAATGATCCCGGGGCACACTAAAGTCTGAGAAACACTGTCTAAGCTCATTGCCCAATAACCCACTAGGGGATAATTGAAAATTTAACAGTTATTTGAAGGGTGTTCATTGTGGTTGGGCAAGAAGAGGAGCTTCTCATCTCCATTGCCGTGATTTGCTCACCTTTGAAGAATAGGGTGAGAACTGGTGGATCCAAGAGGTATTGAGGTAGGCTGAAACTCTTAACGTCTTGTAGGAAAAATGACATTGCAAATTACATGCTCTTAGAATCTTAAAGAACAATGTGCAATAGAATCAATAATAAGAAAGCTAGCTATTCAGATAATTGCTATAATCAATTTCTTACTCTTTTTGTGAACGGTAGCAAATGATTTTCCTGAATGTCTGTATATCAGGTTTTCCTTGATTTCATAGACATTAGGGAGGTTAGGAGATGATTGATTTATAATGACTTTGTAATTTATTGGGGCAATCAAAACACATCTTTTTGCCAAATATTCCTTCAGATAAAGCAAATTCACCTGTCGATCTCTCTTTTCATAAAGCAATATTGCAGATAGATTTTAAAAAGTCAAACTTCAAAACAACAGATTTGCTATCATTTCTATTCCATTTTCCTGGGGACATCTTGTTTCATTTCCCCATTATTTCCTATTTTTCTCTTTACACCAGGTTAACAAATATGGGTTTGAATGTAGACCCAAATATGGGTCTCCTAAGCCCTAGGAGCATGCTAAGCACTGATTCTCAAAGTTAGTAGGATGACATTTTGCTAACTAATGGACTATTTTTTCTAGATATCTGTTTGCAAGGGAATTCAAATTTAGCTTGCTAAAGAACTGAGGAGTCTTCCTGGCTGTATGGTAACCATTCCCTTTCAATCTAACTTGACGAGTGATACTACCTAGTCCCAGAACTACCATGCTCCCAAATGAGGTATTATCAGACAGGAACATTAATAAGGCAGTAAAGGCAAAATATAAAGCAAAGGGACAATATCTATCTATCAGTCAATCTATCTAATATTAAATTTTATAGAACTTTATATTTTTGTGGTTTTAATGGTTTTAGAGTACAATTCCTTTGAACTTTGACATGAATCCTTTTATTCTTTAAATGAAGTATTAGATTTCATAAAATATATTTAAAGTGAAATTAGGCCCTCCCCCTTTTTTTCCCAGTCAGTTTTTAGACATAAGCCTAATCCCTTACACTCTGGTGCATAAGAAGCAAGAGATATTAGATGATAATTTTACACAGATTTGATATTCTTATGCTGTTAGTGGCCTCTCATTTCCTCCTTTCGCTTGACTCCCCTCTATTCTCCTCCCTGTCCACTCTCTCCTGTCCTCTTCTCTTCTCTCTTTTCCTCTGGTCTCTATTACCCTTCTTTGCTTTTTCTACTTGTAGTTATTTTACTAAGCAGGCTGCATTTTTAAATTGAGATTATGGTTTTAAAGTCATCCCCTCAGGGGGCACCTGGTGGCTTAGTCAGTCAAGCATCTGCCTTTGGCTCAGGTCATGATCTCTGGGTCTTGGGATGGAGCCCCAAATCAGCTCCTTGCTCAGCGGGGAGCCTGCTTCTCCCTCTTGTGCTGCTGCTCTTCTTGCTTGTGTGTACTCTCTCTCTGTCAAATAAATAAAAAAAATCTTTAAAAAAATTTTTAAAAAGTCATCTTTTCAGCAGTTCAGAAGGAGTTTAAGAATTTAAGCTAGAGAGGGAATTTTCAGATAGATTTATAAAATGGTTTCATTCTCAAGTGAAAGATAATTGAAGCTCTTGGAGACAAGTAAATTTCTAGCAAATTGTTTCCCGAATACCTCTCATATTAGGTGTTTCTAGCTTTGTTACTGACAGGTGTTGGGAGAAGAACACAGACTTGCTTCATAATTTGAGTAGTGAGAGAAGCAGTAGGAGCCCTTGACCTCTGAAGACCCTCCGTAGTAGCCTGGCATCTCGGGTATTATCTTTCTGTGTTCTGGAGCTCATTTAGCTTTTCTCGGAGCTTTTATTTAATTTTTAAAAAAATTTTTTTAAAGATTTTATTTATTTATCTGACAGACAGAGATCACAAGTAGGCAGAGAGGCAGGCAGAGAGAGAGGAGGAAGCAGGCTCAGAGCAGAGAGCCCGATGTGGGGCTCGATCGCAGGACCCTGGGATCATGACCTGAGCCAAAGGCAGAGGCTTTAACCCACTGAGCCACCCAGGTCCCCCTTCTCGGAGCTTTTAGAAGGTCTAACTTTTAACTGTCAATTACCTCTTAGATGTTCAGGTCATGCTACTGTGAACATCATTTTTTTGATTAAGGAATTCAGCTTTAGCGGCTGATAGGTTATACAAAGTAGGATACATTCATTCTCTCAGCTTTTCATAATAAATTACTTGGGCCCCATAAGTGCCTGAATAAATAAATCTTAGAAGAAACAGCCATTAGTATTATATTTTTAAGGATTAAAAAGCAATTTATTACCTTTAGGTGATTATCTTACATTTAGAAAGAAAAATCTCTTACCTTTTTTTTTTTTTAAAGAAAGAAATGCTACTCTGTTGTCTTTTGATCACCTTCATAAGATTAAAAATGCATTTCTAATTTATGATTTTGGTGGTTTTGACAGCCTCTAGATGTGCCATAAATTGTGAGTATTTTCATGTTACTCTTAGAGATTTTTAGAATCCTCCATGTTCAATGAGTTTTATAAAAACACATTAAATGAAACTGTTCAACAACATTTTAGTCAAGAAGTGATGGTAAAATGTTAGGTGAAGTTTCGAATAATAAAATTTCTGGTTACCAGTAGCACTCAAATATGAATAGGGATTTTTGTTGGAATCAACAAAAGGAGGCAAATCGTAGGACTACAATCTGGATCAAGGATTGAAAAACAAAACATGATTTGATCGCTGCTCCTAGTGTTAATATATGTAATTCTTGGGGTGCCTGGGTGGCTCAGTGGGTTAAAGCCTCTGCCTTCGGCTCTGGTCATGATCCCAGGGTCCTGGGATCAAGCCCCACATTGGGTTCTCTGCTCAGCCAGGAGCCTGCTTCCCCCTCTCTCTCTGCTTGCCTCTCTGCCTGCTTGTGACCTCTATCTCTGTGTCAAATAAATAAATAAAATCTTTAAAAATATATATATGTAATTCTTCATCTGCTTCCATAGTGCAAAGAGAAGAGCCCAGAAGTTCCAGGAGATGAACCTGGAGCCCACGTCAGCATTTTGTGCTCACTAAAGCAGACAAGTAGATATAAGTACTAGAGATGCTTAGCAATTAAGTTACTTCCTCTAAGCCTCTGTTCCATCTTGCCTTCTGTAAAAGGGACATGAGAGGGGAAGTTGTACTGAGTTTGCACTAAATTATTGCACTAAATTTGCACTAAATTATTGTTATTTGTTGTTTTGTTTGCATCACTCCTATTCTTCTTGCATTTCTAGCTTAACCAAAAAAAAAAAAAAACAGACTAAATTATTCCAGCTGCATTCTGTCTATCATGGTCTTAAGAGCATGGTTTCTGGTGTGCCTAGGTGGCTCATTTGGTTAATCATCTGACTTTGGCTCGGGTCATGATCCTGGGGTCCTGGGATTGAGCCCTGCTCAGGCTCACAGTTCAGCGGAGGGTCTGCTTCTCCGTCTTCCTCTGCTGCTTCCCCTGCGAGTGTTCTCTCTCTTAAATAAATTAAAAAAAAAAAAAACACCTTAAAAAAAAAAACAGAAGATCATGGTTTCTGATTTTAAGAGAAAGTGTTCTTCAAGGACTCCCCCTTTTTAAAAAATATTTTATATATTTATTTGAGAGAGAGACTGAGAGCACAAGCTGGGGGAGAGGCAGAGGGACAAGCTGTGTCCCCACTGAGCAGGGAGGTGGTCTCAGGTCTCCATCCTAGGACCCTGAAATAGTGACCTGGAAGGCAGACACTTAACTGACTGAGCTACCCAGGCACCCCTTCCAGGACTCTTTATGAAATAATCATACTGGTGATATAATCAGTCTAATTGTTAGTTGCTGAATTGTTAATTACTCACATGTTAATTACTTCTTAAGCATTTCTGTCTTTTGTATTGTATTTCGTAAAATGATATTCTCTAAATCCTGCTTCTTGGTAGTGTATTAATTTTATAAAAGCAAATATACTGATTGTTTCTCTGGTGTTGACAACGTAAAGTATGTAATGTCTACATCTGTTTCTATTTATTGATTCTTTTTATTCCTCTCATTGATTATATTTTCCTGCTTTGTATTTTTTTTCCATTGGATGTCAGACATTGTGAAT